TGGTGTGAAATGGCGGCTACCTGCAGGTCCCCTCCCTGCATATACTGCATGGTATAGTGAGGGGCGGGCCAAGAGAGGGAGGGAGCGAGCGATCTCTCTTTTTCTCCTCTCCTTGCATCGCATTGTTACGGTATGGTGCGGACCGACGTGTTTCCGCGCGTCAGTCCGTCTTTGTCCCGCGTTCGAGGCGCTCTATACGTCTGTGTCTCTGCCGCGCTTGCTGTTGGAAAGTGTACAGGAACTTGATTGTCTGTCTTGTCTGACAATCCGTGAAAGTTGGAATGTTCGTCCGCGTTCAGATATTGTGAATGCAACAACACTGTGTGTGTGTGGTTTTTTTGAGTGATGATTCACATGTGGTATCCTCTCGAGAACTCTGAAGGACACATTCTACCTCGGTACTGTCTTCAAGCTGGAGGTTTTGCTTCGCGACTGGGTCGTGTGTCATCCCGTCTGAAGCCACTCTCTAAAAGGTACTGCATTCATAATGCAATGAACGCATTTTGAAAAAATTAAATGGGGAGATGGAATATAAGCGGAGCCATCAGCAGAGGATGAGCCGGATTTTAAAAGCGTGATGGAGAGAGGGAAGTGTGGATAAAATGGAAGGAAGAGCACAGCCGCGCGCTGTTGCCATGTGCATAGGGGGGCAGGAGCAGCTGGAGCTCATGTGTTCATTTGGCCTTGGCGTCGTTGCATGGACGGCCATTGCGTGAGCAACACTCACCTTCACGATTACTCTATTGCTTTTTTTCTTCGTGGTACAGTATTGCGTTTAGATTAAAGTTCACCGTGGAAAAGAAACAGAACAGGAATGACTTGATTTTTATGACTATCATTCCAGCATTCAGTTGTCTTCAGCTTACCAATTACGTTGTATGTCTTTGTTTGTTCGTCTTTTTGAAATGCAAAACCTAATTTAAAATTCTCAGTGCACTGTATTTTACTGATGAATGAGGGCTTAATCATGTTTCCCTCATTTATTCAAACTCTGCGCGAGAAAATGAAGTCAACGTTTCTATAAACAAATAAATACTGGCAACATATTGTACACAATTTGAAAAGGAAATTCAGTTTTTGGTCATGCGGCGCTTTTCTCCCCACCGCCCGCCAATTGTTGTCAAATATTTCAGTAGAGGCGAATCAATCATTTTACAATTTAACTTCGTTTTCTATGCAGTAGAGGGCAGTAATGTACATTTAAACTAAAAGCGGGACAGTCGAGCCTTTCCGCGAGTAGGCTTCCTAGCACTGACTTCCACGATTTGTTGTCACCCCAATGAGGGTGACTGGCTCTTCCTGATTGGACGGCTGGAGTGTCCCGCTTGTGCGCTTGTCCATCTGAGGGCAGTGTATTGTACGTATTATCGTGTACAGTTGAAGAGTGGATACTGTCCCTGATGCCAAGGGCATATAGCAAGAATAAAGCGGGACTTCGGATAGTGGCGGGAAGATCGCGGTTCAAGGGGCATTATTGGGATTTTTGCATGTGAAAAACTGCGATAGTCCAACATGTCGAAGAGGTGTGGAGAATTATCATTGTATGTGATTGATAGATCGATGTACAATACGTGTGTCATCTGTTGATTCTCAGCATACCCCAGCTTCACTCAATATATGCACCCCCCCCCTTCTTACTCATCCTATTCACAAAATCCAAACTATCAAAAATAATTTACTACATTATCAAGGCAAATACTGTAAAATTGAATGCATCACAGATTGTTGTAGGATTGATTTAGTGTTTCTGGTTGGATCGGCCACGTAGAATCAGAAGTCTGCCGAGCTGAAGAAGGTCCGTCAGGTAGAAATGTGAAGCAAAATCAAGTGATTCATCAGTAGCCTCAGAAGTGCGGCAGTGTCCGAGGACACGTTCATTAGGCGCACATTTGAGCTGACATTAGATTCATATCCAGCAGAAATGCGTATAGCTCGCCTGTCTCTTCCCTTTGGGTGTGTGTGTGCGCATTTTGAGAATGTGTTCTTTTGGATGATTCAGTGCATATGAAAGGGGCTCTCTTGTTTCGTTTTACTGTGCGATTTGCGTTTCGACGGCGTTTCATCAAAATGGAAGCTTATCGTCTGTGCGTTTGAATCAATGCGGGCCATCTTGTGGGCGAGTGAGTGAGTGAGCGAGCGGTGCAGAACATTTTTTTCTTTTGCATTAATTAATTTATTGTGTTCCTGTTTTATAATTTTGATTGAAACAAAGAACATGGCGAGTTTCACAAACCTCTCTGCATGGTGATGTCGATCGCGGGGAATATTCCTCCGACTGCGTTTCCGAAAAATGAATTTCCAATCCAAAATGTGACTCACTTCACTCTTCGCACGAATTCGGGAAACTCGTGATTCATGCGTTTCTACACTCCTGCGTTGGCCAAAGCTCACGGCGGGGGGCGGTTATGCACGTGACCAGGAATAAAATGTACTTGACAAGGTTTCCTCGAGTGTATAGTTTTACTTCGTGTCTAGTTGATGGGTGTGCAGTATTCCGATACTCGGTTCTATATGCGTAACACTGTTCTCATCGTCTGGCAAAGTGAGGCCCAGTTTTTGTTGGTGTTGATCAGTGAAGATATGTGTGTAGTGGTGCTGATGAGGCACATCAGGACTCATTCATCGGCGCTATATATCTGAAAACCGAGGTCATGTAAAAACCGCCCTTCGTGAATGCTGTACCGAACATCATGGGTTTTTGACAGTAGTGTATAGCCATGCGATATCGTGGCTCATCAAGTGTGCTTTACGAGAAGAAAAAAAAACGAATGCTAAATGTGTTACAAGGAACTCAACATTGAATTCAGTGATGAAATGTTGATGAAGAAGTAATTGAAGATGATTTGTTATAAGTAAATGACGTTTTCAATAGTAGCGCCGAATCTTTCGTCATGCAAGAGTATTTCCTCGAAACCTTGCAGGATATGCGTGAAAGTGTTCCCCGATGTACTCAGCTTGAGCTAGGTGTGTACTGTACAAGTGAATAATGATGATCGAGTCAATGTGAGTTGGTGAGCTTGAAATTAATTACGTAATGAACGTTTCGCTCTCATATTCCAGGTACAGTAATGTAGCTCTTGGTAGCACATTCGATTGATTCTGCGCTCTTGAGGTTTTTCTTCTCTTATACTGGTCACTTGCTTTAATGCTATTCACTATCAAAATGAAAGCAATTACAGTATAGATACTATTCTTGCTTTGGATCTTTCAGGAAAGAAGTTAAGCGTGAAATGCACTGTATTGGGAATGAAGGGCTTCTGCTTCGTGATTATTTTTCTATTGTCGCTTAATCAAGAATGCGTGACCTTTTGAAACGGAATGCTTTTTTATGTGCACGACCTTGAAAGCTGTGCTGGTGTACATGTCTGTACTGTACTGTGCTGTTTTGGAACCTGCTGGTTGATGGAAAGCCATTGTTGTACTGTAATTGTGCGCACTTGTCTCTTATCAGAACCTTTACTGCTGTGGAAGACGGGACAAAGTACAAATGCCATTTTAAAAATAAAAAAGATGTATTCTTCTACGCACAATGCTGTGTATATATATGCGTGTTTGATTATGTCTTCAGTTGCCCAGGCTTACGATGAGACACGTGTAAAGAGGCGAGCTTTGACGTGTGCGAGTCTATGGCAGCATTTGTATTCAGAATGTCCATTGGTTCTATTTGTGCCGTCTGAGAGTCCTATGAAGTAAATATGTGTTATTTGTATTCAATCGCGAAAAATTTGCTGGAAAGTGGAGGAATTCTCAACGAAAGCGTGTCTCGGCGAGTACAGTATTCAAAAGTACTCATACGGTGCGAGATGTTGATGAAATGTGCATGTAGGTTAAGAGATAGGTTAGTGTTTTGCATCAACACTATGACACGAGAAGTGTGTGTGTGTGTGTGTGTGTGTGTTTTCTATAGAAGTGGTGTGTGATGGGTTGTTGAATTTTAATGGGGACTAAATGGAGCCGAATGAGGTGCTTGTGATGTGATCCGTTCCTTATATTATTGCAACTTTTCACGCGATGAGTTGTGCCATCATTTATATGGCACTTCGTGTGTTTATTCCTTTATATAGAGTCTGTTCTGATTAATTCTTTGAGAATTCTGGCCGGCGAGGATGATGAATGTAACGGAAGAACTTTGAGAATGTGTGTGTGTGTGTGTGTGTCTTCTAATTTTCCGTTGTGTTTTGTTTTGGAATAAAAGGGGGGCCCTGTCGGGACGATCTTTCGGGTCTCTGCCGACCGTCGAGTGACGATCCCGCGTGCTATAATATTGCGAAAAAACATCGCCGAGTTTCGTGTTGCTACGTGCATATACCCATATCGGGAGTTGTGTGTCTGAGTGAGTGAACACTGAGGCTTGCGTGTATACATTACATATATACACGGCGTTCGACGCGATAGTTGGCCCATCTTTTTCTACACACGAGTACGGCAGGTCAACATAGCATCACACCGGAAGTCCCGTTCGGTGAACGCGATTAGTTGAGTGGGCAGGCACTGTATTTGGCATGGAGGCCCCGGGCAAGAACCATCAGGCGTCCGTCCAGTGCAGATCCGGCTGCGGGTTCTACGGCACGTCGGCCATGGACGGCCACTGCTCCAAGTGCTACAAGGACTACCTCAAGAAGCATCAGGCCCCGCCGTCGTCGTCTTCATCGTCGTCGTTGTCTTCGTCGTCCTCCTCCTCCTCATCATCATCATCATCATCATCCTCAGTTGGATCAAATGGTGCTGTTCGCGCGCCGGTCTGCATCAAAACTGCCTCACCCACAGTCCCAGCAGTCATCTTGCCTTCCATTCCGTCTCATCCGGCCAGCAAGGTTCGTGTTACTGGGGGTTTATCTTATTGAGAGAAAAGTGTCGCAGGTGCAGTACACAGTCAAACCCCCGTCCAACGTAAAATACTGTACTGTACTTGATTCGTGCATCGGATAAGTTCTGTACGTAAGACAAATTTGTGTGTTGGCTATTTAACGTGTGAATGCATGTTAGATTTATATGTTGGTATGTTGGATGGGACACAAAACAAAAAACAGCCTCAGGAGGCGGTATGTTAGACGGAATATGATGGGCAAGGGTTGACCGTATGCAGTACCGTAGTTTATCTTATGGGATGGTGGAATAACGTCGTCATTCCTATACATGATTATTGTTGTCCAGCCTTTCCTGGAAAAAACTTGTAAGAAAAATCTTCCCGCACTTCACAACTGAATAAACCTTGTACAGCCAAAACGTGTTTACATCTTGGGTTATGCATAAAGGGGAGTTTATTCCTGACAACGATATTCTGCGACGAGTATAATTTTCAACCAGATTATTTGAAGTTCTTGAAAGGTCATTTAAATGAACATTATTTCTGTGGGAAGAATTTTTCTTTCGAAACCGTAGGACACGTAGCTTGTCGGTCTCAGTTTCCTAAACCTGATCATAAGAAAGAATGTTGAGGGGGGGGGGGGGGATTCAAAAATCCACGACTCCTTGACCAATACAGCACCGTACTCTACAGGAAATTGCCTGGAAAGGAATCATGAAGATTAAACTTGATTCAATCCTCCTGGTTAACCTACTTTCATCCAACATACCGCCTCCTGAGGCTGATTCTTGTCCAGTCTGAAATATACAAAATCTGTCTAACATACTAGCATTCAAATCTAACATGCATTCATGTGTTGAATATCTTAGATACGAATTTGTTTGACATGCTTTTCGTCTGACATACTTATCCGTTGTACGAATTAAGTACTGTACGTTAGATGAGGATTGAATGTATTATTGTAGTCCAAATGCGTTGGTTCACATGACCATTTTGAAAACTAGTAAATCCGTCCACTCCTTCTTTACACTTCTGTTTTTTTATTAAATGCTGTGTAAAAGTTTGGAATGTGTAGATCCCTTGCTATTGCTCAACTCATAGTATTTGTGAAAGACCTGCGAAATAGGTCGCCATATTTTTAAAGGAATGAATCATTTTTTTTAATTGTTTTTTTTTGGGAAATGAGCAAACGAGGCGATCTCATGTGAGAAGGAAAAAAGGATTGCTGGAAGAAAGATGTTTTCGAAAAGCATGATGTCCTTAAGCATGTCCTTATTCACAAAACTTAAAATTGAATGATTTGAAGTCAAAACTTGAACCTGTTGAGGGAGAAAAAAAATCAATGACCGAAAACAGCAGAGGGGCATTTGTCATGTACTGTATATAAAATTCCTTTTGACTAGTCTCTTTGTCAATCTGAAAAATGAATGTACAGTGACTGCATTTTAAAACATCTGCTCAACAATGGAGCATTTTCGACTTTCTGCCCGATCTGTATACAACTTCGTGTTTAATTACTCCCAATTACACAAAGGTTTGTTGAAATGGAGTCTGTGTTTTGTTGAGAAAATTGCTTTGTCACTGATGAGGGAAGTGGTTCATCTACAGTACAGTACTGTACTTGTTATAAAGAAGATATTTATAACCGGTTCGTGTCTCGTTTTATGAAGAATGCCAAAGTACCTAAATTAAAAAAGTGACCGTGATCAAGAGTGAGCGGGGAAATAAGCATTTTTTTTGGCATCAGGACAACCAGTCATCACTGATCATAAATCTAAAGTTCGGGACTCTGCTCGATCACATGCAGGGATGGACAGTGATTGAGCGCATTCGTCTTGTTCTAACAGCAGATTGATTACGTGTTACTTTCACCCAAGTTACCCTTCGCGAGAATCTTTCTGCTATTCTGTTGGAAACAAGCCTGGATGACTGAAAAAGTCCTCAAGTCGAATTTCTTTCAAGTCTCTGTCTGAATTCCCTTAGAAATAACGCATTAAAAACCTCCCTAATTCAAAGATTTTCCCCCTCAAATCTCAATAATCAGTCAAATATTCTGTAGGAAATTATTTTATTGACACAGGAAAGAGAAAACCAAGAATAAACAAAAAAATGTAACTTTTTGTAAATTTTGAAAGGAAGTAATGAAAGACTAATTGTTGGGCAAAGGAACCCCGTGCCTCCAAATTAAGCATCCTATCAACTCATCACGTAAGAAGCTATTCACGGCCCAAATAAACAAATGGAAAATTCCTGCAATTCTTTTTTTTCTTTTACCCAAAAAGACAAACAAAAAATGCTGGTTTCCGTGACTCAAATTTTTTAACTGGTCCCTTGAAGTTTGATAGTATTAGTTTGATGCTGTTCTCCAATGTTGTCAAAGTTGTTCAAAATGAAGAACAAACCGTGTTGAATGTCTTCTTCTTTGCTGTGAGCTTTGCATTGCCTCTGATATAACCCTTCAAGAATAACTTGTTGCTAACCAGAGTTTATAAGAAAGTACTGTACTTTCTGGGGAATTCACACATGAGAACAGTGTATTCGAAACATGTTTTGGGACACACTTGAACCTTATAAGATAACAATGCTCAATTGGTATCTGTCCAGAAAACAGTATGATAATACTGTACGGGCTAGTTCTTGGTTGTACTGTATTGAAACATTTTCGTGTCCATGGGGGTGAAATTGAAGGACTTTTCTCTTCTTTTTTTATTTTTTTATTGCTGACTGACACAGGATGGACCTGGTTCGGACTCGAAAGGACAGTGTGATGATGATCTTGTGGGAGCTGGAGCAGCTCTGTCATCGGCCGCAGTGCTGGTAGACACAACACACCAGAGTGGCCCTGCGAAAGAAGCTGACCCTTGTGTGGCACCCACCGGCGCCACAGCTTTCAACGAAGACGGGCCAGAGAAGAAGAAGCGGAATCGCTGCACCATTTGCAAGAAGAAAGTCGGCCTCACTGGTGAGCAAATTTCATTGGCATGACTCGATAGAGATGAAGAAATCAACACTGTTTTTTCCTTTCTTTCTTTTCTACTGTATCAGGTTTTGGATGCAGATGTGGTGGCCTGTTTTGCGCCATACATCGTTATAGTGACAAGCATGACTGTAGCTTCGACTACCGCTTGCACGGCGCTGAAGAGATCCGGAGAAATAACCCCGTTGTCAAGGGCGAAAAAGTGAAGCAGATTTGATCCGCATTATACTGTAACTCCGGTCATGGGTTTTTTTTTTCTTTGTTCTTGTACTGAATCTCTCATCCGCGCGCGTGGGGGGTTTTTCGTGTCGGGCCAATTGACGGTGTTTTTTTTTTTTTTTTTCTTTCCTCGAAGTGTATAGCAGTGCGGCGAGTTCACAGTACTGTTCTGGAAAAGGATAAGACGACGACGACAACCACCGCTATCATTGACGTGAAAACAACAATGTGAAGAAGAAAAAAAATCCAGCTTTGTTCCCCTCAAATCGAATAAATCAATCACTCGATCGGTCGTTGCCTTCTGTCTTTCCGTCTATCTCTCCTCCTTCACCCGCGAGACTTTGGACACAGAAGAGTTTCACAAAATTTTCAACACCAAGTCCCACACAATTGAAAACAGGAATACCACCTTCTCGCAGACCCCCCCCCTCCCCCCCCCCCCCCCCCCCCCCCCCCCCCTCGCAGATATCTCGCCAGAAAATATATGGTCCGTTGTTGTTTCTCTCTCGGAAAATTGATGAGGGAAGACGCATTGCCAAATTTGTGTAGGACGTACAAAGATCCCATTTTTGGAAGTAAGCACATGATCCGCGTGTTTGTCAAACGGCTGTGCGTGCTTGCTTGAATCGTAATCATGCGTGAAATAGAAAAAGAGTCGGACACAGGACAGGCACTAACTGACCGACCCCAAGGATTGCATATACAGTGCTGTAATGTGTGTGGGTTGATTGTCGGTGGACCAAAGGCTCCATTTCTGAGCAGTCGAAACACATCTGCGAGAAGGTGGTATTCCTGTTTTCACTTGTGTGGGACTTGGTGTTGAAAATTTTGTGAAACTCTTCTGTGTCCAAAGTCTCGCGGGTGAATTGATGGAAAAATTGGGTGATTCTTACCTATCTGGTCAGCCAGCGTATGTAGTGGTACTTCCTGTCGGACCATCATGAGTGTGCATAGCTAGCTGTTCAGTTATTCCCTCATCAGTTGATTAATAATGCTGTATTGCAGGCTTCTCACGCGCGAGAACCCCATTTATGACGGTTTCTTCAAATTCATGCGTAAGTGTCCCTGTGTTAGGGGGGGGGGAATACTTGACTGAAAGCTGTTTTTTTTGACGTGTTACGGAAGCATTGTAACAATAGAAGTATGTGAAACCCTCTGAGGGGGGGGGGGGGGGTTTGATGAAAGTGCGCAGTTTCTTCCTTTTTTTTCTCTTCAGTTCAAGAGGATTTCATGTTTTTTTTCGGATATTTGGATTTGAGCAAGATGTATGCTGCCATGAACGTAAAATCGCTGCGTTTCTGTGTGACCGAGTGATGACTTGACGAGTTAATCTGGTGTGTGATCGCTGCTGGGCTTACTTCTGTCCTGAGAAAGAGCACTGATGATGAGAATAGCGCTGCGAGCAATTAATTGACGCGTTTTCTGCGCTCGTTTCTTCTTGTCGAATTATCATCGTCATTATTTTGTGCTATGGGGGAATCGGGAAGGGAATTGAGTGCGACTCGCAGAACTGGCAGTCTGATAAGGTGGACAGTTTCGTCGTGTGACCATGATGGATTTTTTGAGTCAATTCTTTTTCCTTCTCGAGCTCCGCGCAGCACGTCCGTGTATGAAATAAAGGTATTCGACGATTGCGTGTGTCACTCGTATTCTCGTTTGTCCTCCGAATTTCCTTTCCTTTTCCTCGGCCATTGCAATTCACATGAGCACCCGCGCGGTTCAGTTTTTGGTTGTTTCAGGCGCGAGAGGAGGAGTCGAAGGAGAAAGATGGGCTTCCGTTTTCCGCTTGGAGACGGACATGTGATGCATTCCGTTGACGACGGCCATCGTGGCAGACACGCAGCACATTGCGAAATAGCTGGACGGGGTGCCGATGGCGGAAGAGAGGACAGATGACAGTGTTGGACCGATTCCGGCACTGTGCAATGGTAATAACAATAAATATGGCTGGAAATTGACTTTTCACGAAACCCGGCCTTATTCTGGACAGTTAGATTGACGTTTATATTCAAATAGGATGACTTATTAATGAAACTTGCTGCCTACCCAAGAGACCAAGCAGTGTTGAATCCAGCGGAAGTCATGCCGTACGTCTCAACTGTAGGCGGATAACCTGCAGCTCTGCAAATATATATATATATACAGTACTGTATATGGAACCCAACGAAACGATATTCGAAATATTCCGGGAGTTGGTTTTATGTACTTACAGAGCGGCATCTGTGAATCCCTGCAAAGTAGGTATGATGACGAACGCTAGTCCGAAGCCGTGAAGTAGAAGTCCTACAATTGTCACCGTCATTGACCTGAGAATTTACTGTATGTACATTACAGTGACACGGACTACTTAGATGAGATGTGACTAAATTCTGGAATTGCTATGCTTCTGTTCAGTGGCAGGAATAAGTTTTCAGTTCGTGATCTATGCTGGAAACGAGCATCAGTGCGATTACATGTTGTGAGTCGCTTATTTTATTACACGGTGTATACAATATCATAAGGAATAAGAGATCTACCATATGCGGTTAGAAAGAGTTACGGTATTGTTCGGTTATTTCTTTGCTCACGCACTACTGTACAGTCTTGTGAATCGGAATAAATTTACTGTGGTAGAATGGGCTCCAGAAACTCGGCCGGTCCAATGATGAGAAAGCCGAATGTGAGAAGAACCAGCCCGAAGGACATTTGCACGTATCTGTGGTGAGGGTGGGAATCTGACCAGATCCCTGCCACAGGTGTCATGGCGCAGTAGCCGCCCAAAGATGGCAGGAAAACGTAGCCCGCTGTTGCCTCGGTGATCCCAAACTGCCACAACAATTCAACAGCCATATTTCGATTCTGCCTAATCCCCGCGCTCTTTTATGTGGATAAACTTTTCGGAAATCCCTCAGTTTGAAATTTTAATCTAGGATCGACGATGAAACGCGCGAGTGTCTCGTCATTATTATCGTCATACGTCACGTACGGAATCTTCCAGGAACGGTTGGAGAGTGGAGGCGAAGTATGTGAAGCTGACGCTGCAGGAGATGATGGTGATGAGGACCAACATGGGCTCCCAGGTGATGAAGATGTGCCAGTGCGGCTTTCTCGGCTGGTCCTTGCAGGCTTCCCCACTGCCAGTGTTTTTCACTTCCATGAGCTTGACGAACTCTTTTCGAAATTCGCTCGATTACACAGTATGTACGTATATGATTCAATGAGGGCCAATTTTAGCAGCGCGATGATGAATGCTGCATAATTGCTGAACACACACGATGCATACCATTTTGCAACGTATTCGTTACCTTTTTTAGGTGGAATGATGACGAATAGAGGGATGGCGACGAATACCATGATGCATCCGATGGTCGCGTACGGGACCCAGAATCGTGATACCTAAAGCATTATATTTTGACTGAATTTTTCATGAATAAGTTTATACGTTTGATTCATTCACTCACGGAAAAGATGGCGCTGCCCATTGGGGGTCCTGCCGAGCATCCGACGCCGATGATGACCTCACATATGCTCTGCATCAACAACAACAACAAACATCGGTTACGCAAGGACGAAGAAGAATCCCGGCAATGATGGGAATTCATCTATAGCTAAAGAGACCATGATGAGCCCCATTTGCGGCTTGAACAAGGAAGTGATGACTGCAAACACGGAAGTTATGTATGCCGCGTAGGACAATCCCTGCAGGAACCGGAGTACAACCGAGGCCACCGCAAACGTTTCTGCATCTCCGATGAACTCCACGAATCTTTTTTTTTTTCGGTACAAGACGATAAAAGAAACTATATGTAAGCATCGCATCGTACGTGACTGAAATATAGACTGTGTTTTTCCGAATTACCGCGGGGGTGTGAAAAGGATGTGATGGCAGTAATAGATACTCAATCTAATTTAGGGATATATAATTTATTGCGTGATGTAAACCGAGTGTAAATGTCGGAGAACTGTGCTGGATCCAGCTTGAATTTATTGCGTAGCCAAGAATGTATTTGCATTCAAGAGTGACTATGAAGCATAAATATTATTAAACCTATTTCAAGTATAATCTATTTTTTCCATGATTAAATAAACAGCTTCTATTATCGGAGAGCTGTTCATGCGATTTGGATTTCATCACTTCCTGTTCAATGTATGACTTTTAAAAAATTGGAAACCAAGAAGCGTACACTAATAGGTGAGAAAATCGAAACACAAACCTGGTAATGCTCGTGATAAATATTTTTCTTCTTGTTTTGTGTCTTATTCAAGGTAATATAACATTAATTTACATAAAATCAATCATTAAAAAGTTACTTGTCTTGTACTGTACAGTGTTAGACAGATTTATCAACGTTGTGTTCCGAAATTTGCACCACTCTTAGAAAAGGGGTCCAATTTATTTTTCTTTTGTCAAGTCAGAAAATGGACGACGGAATGTTGTGAGGAATGAGTTCAAGTATGATACATATTTCACGATATACGCACCCAAACAAGATTGCCCCTATTCCAGAGATGACGATGCCTCCAACCATCAAGAGCTTCACTCCCAATTTCGGAATCTGCAAAGTTTATTGTCGCCTTAATTACATGCAGCCGTGACTTCTTGCAATTAATTATTCTTGCAGCTATCGTATCAAACGTGACGACGATGACGAAGACACAGCAGCACTCACGAGAAAGCCCACGATCGGTGCTGCGATGACTGACGCCCACGAAAACGCGCTGAAGACGAGTCCGATGAAGGCGTCTGGGATCCCCTTGTCTAGGGCCTGATATGCATGCAAAACATGTCAAGATGACGTACGAAGCCAGACTGAATTTAATCTTCCCCGAGACGAGAAGAAGAATTGAAGAAACGCACCAATGCTGGGAAAAGAGGTCCGTTGACGCTGAGACTCGCGAACCCGAAGAATTCAGCAATGGCCATCGTGAGCAGGAGGAACTTCTCCTTGTCCGTCGTGTTGGCGATCAAGTTGGTGATGCCGTTGCCCGCGTTCTTCTCCTCCGCTTTCTGCTTCTCTGCGATGGCTTCATCGATGGACACTTCTCTGCTCTCCGACAAGTCGACCACGACTTGCAGTCGGTGAGTGATGCCATCACTACTACTACTAATACCACTACTACTGCTGCTGCCGTTAGCATTAGTAGTATTAGTAATATCGCGTGATGGTGCTGTGTTTGCGTCAGCCATTTCCAGCAACAGCAGAGGGATATGATGACGAGCCACAGAAACACCTTCTGCTTTTATTTCGGGAAAATAGGGAAAAGTATTCCTTTTAGAATGGAAATTTCACGCAATTATATTATAGTTCAACACGCACGCAAACTCATGCTTATTTCACAAATCAATCGAGACTTTCGAAAGAAGATATTAGCCTTTGTGGAAATCGGAAAAATTTCGAGAGAATATGAAAAAGGAGAAAAATCGTCGACATTCATTTGCAGCGCAATTATCTTATATTTTCTCGCAGTATTGCTGTACTCGATAAATACACTTGAAAATGTACTTCATGACATTTTAAGGAATGAATGGGTTTTTTCTTATTGGTTATTATTAGATGAGAACGGTTTGATTGAATTGGTGCGGCGAGACTGGAAATGAACTCGTGTCGTATATGTCGATCGAACGATCGATGAGAGACTGTTTTCAGAATTCAAGACGTGATCCCCGTTGTTGCGATGTTGTTGTGATAAGCCATCCCTCCGGAAACGCGTGTTTTGGGACCCTTATTTATCAATGCGAGTGTTTTATCACGTATATATAGCCGCGGTTCTGTGAAACTTCCAACGCTTAACGTTTATAGGGAACGAAGGCGGAATTTAAACATTTTGTATAAACATTAAAAATGTCTTCGAGCGAGCAGATTATTCCGTTTGTGTCATTACATATACTGTACTGAACAAGACATGTGATGATGCTAAATTGTACAGTGTGAGAATTCCTCTCAATTTTCGCCTTTTTTCAGCAAGACGATGGATTTGATAATTACTGATGTGATAAACTTTGTGATGACCCTCAATCGCTTAGACAAAAATATACACGTGAGGTGATGTGTCTTCATTTCGATTCGTGACGTGCTCGGGCATCACAAAAGTGTTGTCCATAATTAACCCATCATTCAGATGGGATTTTCGATTCTCGATCGCTGCGTGTGTTCGACGTCGCGATAACGAAACGTTATTCAAGTTTCTCCAGTGAACAGAGGAAAACGTTTCTTTATGTAGTATAGGGAGGATGTTAGTTGTTTTTCGTTTTAATTTATGGCGCAGCAGCAGTAGCAATGCGGTTCCTGTTGACTTTCTTTTCGAAAGAATTTTTCATGTTTGCAAAATGAAAGTGAAACTGTACGCTATTTTGTTTTTTATTCGCATGCCTTTGAACGCTTTTCGGCCCAACTTAATCGATAATCTATGCGATAGAAGTTCTTCAAATGCCTTTTGATTACTGCATTTGACGTAATTCTGTTTTTATGTCACGAAACTGTAAAATATTACTGTAGTACTGTACAGTAGCGTGAGTGGACTTCTCGCCGGAGCTCACATATGAGCTGCCGAATTTACGCTGCTCCCCCTTCCCCCTGCCTCACTCCCCATGCAGCTGCAGTCCCTCTCTTGTGCGCATGCACATATAGGTCTAATGGACCATTTATTCTCATCTTCTCATTAAATGATAATTTCTTATAAGGTTTCTTTGTAAAGTATAATACTGTACATGACAAACATAATCATCACCATTAATCTTCTTATGACAATTTTCTATTAACGTCATTTTTGGATGCCTTTCAACTTTCCTCTTTCATTTCTTTTGAATATCATCATTGTTTGGATAAGAAAGGCTTCAATTTCAAAGGATCTCCTGATTGGAAATTTTGATGGAATCTTTCCGTGAGTGGACTTCTCGCCGGAGCTCACATATGAGCTGCCGAATTTACGCTGCTCCCCCTTCCCCCTGCCTCACTCCCCATGCAGCTGCAGTCCCTCTCTTGTGCGCATGCTTCAGCAACTTCAGAAAGTGGAGCCTGGCTGTTTTGGGAAGAAACGGTGTAGAACTCACACTGCACTCATTGCTCTATTGAAACTTGCAATGGAATGCATGCTGAAGATTATTTTTAGACTTCTCTATTGTCCAGTATAGAATGCTATACAATTTTTTTTATGTTTCAGTATAGAATGCATTAGTTTGTTTAAGCAATATACAATTTGTGATATGTTTCCTTAGTTGACTTGGTAGTAATTAAATGTGATAAATCGGGGCATTTAAAAAATACGAAATTTACAATTAGGGAATCATTGTCAATGTGGAAGGGCTTAAATGCCAGAAGTTAGGGATTCTCTGAGTGCAGTGTACAGTACTTTACTACTCTGAGTGCTTTGTACAGTACCTTGTTGGATTCATCCATTCATATACTGTACAAGTGTTCACTAGTGATCAAAATGACTTCATGTTAATTCAGCATGCTAGTGTCCTCTATACTAAAATGAGTAGAATGGACTGGCTTCTGTCCACCCTTCTCAACACAGTAAACATGTGCTTACTTATTCTGCAGTTTCTACAGCAATCATGGTGCTTGACACTTTTACACTGCATTTTGTGTGGTTTGGTCTGTGTTGGAAGGTCGTAATTATCGAATTAGTGGTCTTCATTAATTGCAGGATAAGATTATCCTGTTATCAGAATGATCCTGTGTATTCCTTCAGCTTATTTTGTGATTTTGGTTTGTTCGGGAACTTCATTTTACTGACCCTGTGTCGGGCTTCACGTATGAAGATTTGGATATGGAGCAGGAGCTGATTGGATTTTTGGAGAAAACCTTATCTCCTTGGTAAGTGTGCCATTCAATCGTGTAGGTTGATTAGGTGCTTCAGAATTGCTTCTGTTGCTTGCAGATCAGATTGAACTCAAAGCTGCAACAGAATTCCTCAAGCAAGACTATGATTTTTGGATTCATTTCCGAAAGAGGATTCAAGACGTTTTCAAATATTTTCAGGTGGCTTTTCTGCAAACCCTTTCGGATATTTTGAAAGCCAGGGTGGCAAATCCAATTGTTCATGTAGCAGCTGTCTTGAAAGACGAACTAAGATTCACAAATCAGCGTTGCCAGTGACCAAAAGGGTTTGTGAATGCATTACTTGCAAATTTTTTCGTCCAGTCTGGAGGTGTTTTTGGCATCTTTAAAAAATATAACAAACATTAAGGCTCCAAACCTGTTGCTTCTATCCGTGTTCTTGCAAAACAAGTCATGATGGAGTGTTACAGCCAAATGCCATTGCGCAGTTGAACATTTTCGTTGCCTGCGTTCTCATTGCGTGACTGAATGAAACATTTTTAATAGTATAAAAATTAAATCACTAATGCCCCCCTTCTCATGCAACATTTCCGCCATTGTCTCCTGAAACGATCGTCCCATCTTTTTTTCCCTCAGGTGAAGTTGGAGCGTGTCCTGGGTCTCATGTCAAGCTCCAATACTGCTATTGCCCAAGACCCAAACACAGGATCTCTCGCGTATGCAGCGCGGTGAGTTTAGGCGTTGATCTGTATTTTTCATTTCACTGTATGAAGTGGTAAAATCAAGCTCGGAACCATCTGTTGTTCAGTTGTTTTCCTTTGTTTGTTTATTGTCTGCTCTGGATTATTTCTTTGAGTCACATGAGATTTCTTGCTGTCTTTTGACATTGCACCCGTTGCTTTGAGCCAAAAATTACTTTTGTTGATTCTGGTACTTCTCAAATGTTGTTGCATAGAAGAGGCCTGTATCCAATCACTGTAATGTACTGTACTTGCGTTCGGCGTACGATTTATTTTTACAGCCTTTGTCATAAATAGTATTTTTTCTTGCGTTGCGTGGGATTTTGCGACAGTACATAAAGTGAACCCGTAACTCTCCATTTCTGTGCAGGTGCGTTATCGTAGTGTTTTTGCCTTTGAAACCACCGCCCACGCCAAGTAATGGTGCAACGCTGAGTAAGAATGGACAATGGAAATACTTGCGGAGCAACAGCAGGAAAACCATAACATGCCTCGCATTCTCAAAAGATGGGATGTTCTTGGCGTCTGGAGAATGCGGGTACAATCCTTGCGTACGGGTATGGGATGTTGCGCTGCGTGTGGAGCATGCCGTCTTCATGGGTCATAAATTCGGCATAAAGTGCGTTGTATGTTGTGTGGAATGGCAAAACGAACACTTTTACTTGATTGCTACGTTTTTCCCGACAGGCTTTTTCCCCTGGCCAAAAATATTTGGTATCTGTTGGAGCACAGCATGATCAGATTGTCAATGTCTGGGATTGGAAGCATAAAGCAAAAGTCGCGAGCAATTGTGTTTCAACAAAGGTTAAAGCCGTCGATTTTTTCAAGAACGGATGTTATTTTGTCACCGTAGGCAATTGACACGTGAAGTTTTGGTATATGGATTACTCTAGGGGAAATAAGAAGGTTTGTTGACCACGCCAGATGGATTTACGTCGTGTGTAATGCTCAAGTTTTTCAACAGATTAAAGACCCTGTACCTTTAACTGAATGGTCTGCAATCCTCGGCGAGCAAGGCAACAATTATTTTGCTGATGTCTGTTGGGGTGTTGGTGATGCTGGTGACTCAACTTTTGCCATGACAAAGTCTGGGTTACTTTGCGAATTCAACAATAGACGTTTGTTGGACCGCTGGGTTGAGTTGCGGGTGAGAAACATTCTCATAATATAATATTGGTAATGGGGACTGGAGGTATCGTGAGGCTGCTGTGATGACATTTGGGTCCATTCTTGAAGGTGAGGAATGAAGAATTGCTCTCTTTTGGACATTTATTTTTTGGCGATTCTTGAAGCAAATGCAGTAAAACTTCTCTTCAGGCAATTTGGCCATTTTGTTTTTCAAAGAGTATGGACAAAAAATGATTGGATTGTAACCGAGTGTAGCAATGGCAAAGTTTTACTGCATTTCTTTGGTTCTGCCATTTTTTGGGGGCTCCTACATGATGATACAAAGAGTTGTGGTTTTGCATTTTTCGCTGAAAATGATGAACAACATGTCTCTTGGCAGTCTGACTTGTTCAAATATTGTACTTGGGATTGGCAGTTCTCGCGTTGTTGAAATTTCAGGAGGGATTTATTATACAATGATCCTGTTGTCTCAGGCATCAGATACAAGAATGATCAAAGGTGTTACGCTTTCGAAAAGAGAGATGTTTTTAACCAAATTATCATTTTGTCAGGACTGTCGAATGAGAAGTTGAAGCCTATGATGGATGAAGCATTGATGCCTGTGCTGATGAATTTTATGTCAGATACAAGTATCCAAGTGCGAGATACATGGCTTGGACCCTGGGTAGAATATGTGAATACTTGGACGTCCACGTTGAATTCTGAAGTTCTCACTGCGCTTCCTAACGCCTTCTGTGTTTCACTCAGTGATGAACCGTCTGTCGCCGCCAACGTTTGTTGGGTTAGTGTACTTTGTAAACATCATTTTAAAGTAGTTTTTGTGATTTAGTGTGATATATTTAGAGCATTTTAAATTGGAAAATCTGCTGAATGTTTCTTGATGTGCTCTGAGCTTTCAAAAACCATTTACATTTTTTCAATTATATTTTTGTCCTTCGGGGAAGATTTAAGAAGTTGAAAGCATTTAATGTATCTAGAAATTACCTGTGCACACCTTCTGCAGATTAAATAGCATTTTTCATTATTGTTTGCTTCTTCTTGCAAAATTTTCATCACTGTATGAAGTTCATTTTAACGTGTGTACAGTTAAAGATACTGACTGAGTTTTGTGTGGTTGAACATGTATTTAAATTTATGCATGAACAGTACCTGTATTGAAAAAAACAATTTTATCAACAGGCCTTGAAAAGCTTGAGCTTTGCCGCGTACATGGCCGTCCAAACCAGTGACAAAGAGAGCATTGAGCCGGATGCATATCCCTTGTTGCCGTTTTTCCACATTTTGATGCAGAAACTGTTGTGGACAACCAAACAATCTAATGGCGCACAGGTCAGTGATTTAATTCATCGATGGTAGAGATTTTTGCGTACAGTATTTGAAAAGACTGAACTGTCAAATTTGCTGGAATGCTGTTTTGTGCAAGGTCTAGTTTGTAGTACATATTTTTACTAGGTGTACGTTTTCTCTTGTAATTAACCAAAATTCACCATTAAATCCAAGCTTGATGTACACTTCAACTTATAGAAATGTTTGCAAATTTTACACTCACATATGACACCTGCCCTTATTTTTCCCTCTAAATTTTGAGAAAAGTTTCAGGCTGATTCCCGGTACAATAATATTTGGGCGTTTGTGTATTGAGAATGACCAAGGTGTGGCAGGGTCACACATACATGAACGTCCAATGGGAGCATTTTTTAGAATCATGAAAGCCAGTTTTGGGCATTTGTGTGTGTGTTATCAATGCGGGCACTTCTATCAAAAGAAAAGTTTGGCATTCATGTATTGAGAATGTATGAATTGAGAACATATATTGTGTATAAAATAATGTATTGTTGTAACAAGATTCTTAGGCTTACTGAAAAAGTATTTTATACAAAACAGACTAATTTGTTATGACCTTTTTAACATTGAGGAGTGGAACATTTTTTCAAACCAGACTATAATGAATCACTTTTTCTAATGTAAAAAATTAGGAAAAATTTGGCTGGGCATGCATGGTTGGTTTGGGATGGCATGAGATTCACATTGCAAGCATCCCAAACTTTTGGGATGCATGCCATCCCGAACCAACCATGCATGCCCTGCCAAATTTTTCAAGATCCTTAATTTTTCCTAATTTTTACATTAGAAAAAGTGAGGCATTATAGTCAGGTTTAAAAAAATTTTCCACTCCTCAATGTTGAAAATGTCATAACAAATTAGTTTGTATTGTATAAAACACTTTTTCAGTAAGCCTAAGAATCTTGTTACAACAATACATTATTTTATACACAATATATGTTCGCAATTCATACAATCTCAATACATGAATGCCAAACTTTTTTTGATAGAAGTGCCCGCATTGATAACACACACACAAATGCCCAAAACTGGCTTTCATGATTCTAAAAAATGCTCCCATTGGACGTTCATGTATGTGTGACCCTGCCACACCTTGGTCATTCTCAATAAACAAACGCCCAAATATTCTTGTACCAGGAATCAGCCTGAAACTTTTCTCAAAATTTAGAGGGAAAAATAAGGGCAGGTGTCATATAGAAATGTTTGCAAATTTTACACTCACATATGACACCTGCCCTTATTTTTCACTCACATAAGTTGAAGTGTACATCAAGCTTGGATTTAATGGTGAATTTTGGTTAATTACAAGAGAAAACGTACACCTAGTAAAAATATGTACTACAAACTAGAGACCTTGCACAAAACAGCATTCCATCAAATTTGACAGTTCAGTCTTTTCAAATACTGTACGCAAAAATCTCTACGGTCGATGAATTAAATGTGCATGCAATGTGAATCCCCATACTTTCTGCATGCGCCCCAAACATTTGGGACGCATGCAATGTGAATCCCAGCCATGGATGCATGCAAATTTTTTTAATGCTAGGCAGTGCTATATACAAAGAAGTACAGTGCTGACTTTCCTTTTTCCTCTATACCCATTCAGGAATTGTCATGACAGAAACTGCATTGAAAAAAGAAAATGAAGAAAAGATTTGGCAGGAAGGTATTTTGAGACATGTGCCCAGGCCTGGTTGGATCAGTGTATAACTGTCTTCCTCCACCCCCAAAAAAGGCAGGACTCAAGGATAGAACTTTTCATCTGGATGCAGGTGAGATTCCCTTCTGTCTAGTTATGCAGATGGGCAAGTTTTAAAAGCACACAGTTCATAATTTTGAATCAATCAAATTCTTGCAGCAGGACAGCAGCTGTCAGTATATAATTGTGATGTCAGCAAACTCATGCCCTGGCTACATTTCTGCATGAACCTTAATCCCTTGCCCAACAGTTGGTTGGTTTGCCTCATATTCTGTTGGTTTAACCACAAACTTGGAGCCCTTGTCATTACCAGATTTTATTACCTTATTTATTCCTGGAAAGCCTTCTGAAATGCTTTTAAATTCCAAGAAACAGTGCAAAAACTATGTGAACTAATTCAAGACACATTCTGAAAATTTACAATAAATTATGGAATTAGAATAAATTTACTTGATAATATCCAAGCAGTATTGCAAGTATCATGTGCCTGTTTTGTAAACTTACAGCATTCATGTTTTGCTGATATTCCTGCACTGTATATTTCTTCCAGCATTTTTGAAAGCAGCCAAAATAGTTTTTATTTGATTCCCACTCAAATTTGTTCACAGAACTTTTCAGAAATTACCTTAAGTTTTTATTTCTTGAATCCTAATTGCACCATGTTCTCTGTTTTGCAGAAGGAGGCAATTCACCTGCATGGAGCACCTGGACAGAAGATTTCTATTCCATCAGGAAGAAGGGTGTTCATTTGCTGGACATATTGTAATTGATTCTATGTATTGGCATTTTTTAGTGTTTGAACCATTTCAAAAGTGCTTATTTCTTTAAAGTTTTGAACATACTTTCTTTATTCATGTGTTGGATGTGGAGCCCTTAGTTTTCTTTTAACTCTTTATATCACTTATGTCTATAAAAATAGGAATCATTTCATGACCCATGCAGTATTCAAAAATATTGTGAAGAATTAGAAAGAAACTCCTTGCTTCAATGCTCATATGAAATAACAGTAATGTAGACTTGCTCTGTGATTTTGGTTTCAAAGAAGTGTATGTTCCAATTGATCTTGTGTCTGCTCAGTTTTTTATTGCTGTCAATTTCATGAAAAACTTGTCTTGTTGGATTACTTGAAGAAATGCAAGTAGTTGACAGGGTTTTCTCAAGATACAACTAACTGAAGTATGTTTTTTTCAGGTGAAGATGGTGGATCTATACAGAAAGAAGACTCATTGCTGGAATCCAGGGCCTGTGCAAATATTTTTTCATGCCTGCAAGAAATGGACTGTACAACTATGTAAGGATTTTTTTCATAAGTCCCTGCAGGTTTTTCATTTGAAGAATGTTGAACAAACTTTGTTTTAACAAGCTTTTTTTTCAATAGTCTCTGTGCAACAACATTTTTGACTTTATTGTGCATGGACTGTAGAAATTTTTACTTACAGTAACAAAAATCTAAAATATCCAACTTGCACATCATACAAAATTTTTATAAAATGAAATGATAATCTCTTTTTTTCAGGAAATTTAGCCTTGCAAGAAGTATGAAGCTTGTTGCTTTTAGTAGAAACTATGTAGCTTTCTTTCAAAATTTAAAAAGGGTCAATTTTCAAAAATACTGTTGAATGTTGTATGTGATCCTAATTGCACCATGTTCTCTGTTTTGCAGAAGGAAACAAGCCAGCTCCATGGACCCACTGAACAGAAGATACACACTACATCAGGAAGAGTGGGGTTCATCATTTGCTGACTGGACATCTTACAAATTATTGCATGTATTGGCATTTTATTGTGTTTGAGCCATTTTAAAAGTGCTGATTTCTTTAAAGTTTTGGAAAATATTATCTTTGTTCATGTGTTGGAGGCAGAGCTTTTATAGTTTCTTTAAACTCTTTATATCATTCATTTCCCTAAAAATTGGAATCCTTTAATGATCTAGTATTAAAAATTGTTGTGAAGAATTGTAAACAGACTTCTGCTTCAATGCTCATTAAAAATAACAGTAATGTAGACTTGCCCTGTGATTTCAGTTTCAAAGAAGTGTATGTTCCAATTGATCTTGTGTCTGCTCAGTTTTTTATTGCTGTCAATTTCATGAAAAACTTGTCTTGTTGGAATGTATTTACTTTTGCTTGTAAATAAATTCTACTTTTGAGGAAATTTTGAACTTTTTGCATTTATTTGGGGAGGCAATAATGAAGGGCATGATGAACATGGGCTGCCCATGATCAGGGGGCATGTGCTAACCCATGATGACTAGGTGATGATCTTGGCTGTAGCACATCCATGGAAAGGCCATGTTCATCACATCCTTGGTCATGGCATGAGGGCTTTCTGTAAGGGTATGATCATCATGCCCCCTCCTAAAATCCTATCTCTAGTTAGGCACTAGTGGGTCATGCATGATGTCATGCCCCAATTGTTTGCTGGGTAGATACAGGATTTATGCCATTTCATAAATACTGTACAGAACCAATACTGATATTTTGAAAAAGTCATCACTGGAAAACAGGGAATCAATCAATGAAGCAATATTAGTAATTATGAACTCAAATTATGCATGGTTGTGAACTGAATATAAATCATCAATAATTCACATCAAACAAATGATATTTGGGAAACTTCATAATAAGGTATGCATTTATATCATACAAATTTCTAGTTTGAATTGTTAGAAACAATTTTGAATGTCCATAGGAAGGGCAGCATTGAGAATGAATGCAAATAAATACAATACAGTATAAGAACCCTTCAATAGCAAATTTAATTTGGACAATTTCTCATTGCATGTACTCAACTTATTTATAATCAGAGTAATGAAAAGATCAGAACCTTCAGTATAAAGCCATAAGGTTTATTAAAATGAATATTAATTATAGTTGTTGATAGTAATTCTCCTACTACACTTTTTATACCTACAGTATTCAAACAGGCCTTCTGAAGTCTCTCACGATTTTTCTTCAAGGAGAGAGTGATGGGTTCAGGGAGTGAGGCAGGGGGAAGTTTCAGTGACGGGAGATGATACTTTTGGCCACTTCAGTGATGACAAGTATGATGCCTGACTTTCCAGAAAGCATCGGTAACAGGTAAGAGAATAATTTCGTTTATTCATTACCCGACCGATTTGTTAAACAGCAGTAGTGTGTACTGCTGATGTATAAATAATATATACAGTACAGTGCAAATTAATTGACTATTGTCTCTACAGTTTCTTCGCTCGCGGACAGCAAATCAAAGGAACAACCGGCAATTGTGTGCGTCCCTCCTCCTCCCAACCGCAGATCGTTGGCCTCTTATTCTTCGATGATACATGATGACGGAAGTATGCGTCGCACTGTTTTATTCTCCAGCAAGTCCCGGCCGTCCCGTCCCGTGTCACACATGGACTGTTGATCTTCTTCTCTTCATGAAGCTGGTTGGGCCACTGCAGAAACTCGTTGAAATCTGGAACGGAACGGAGGAGAGATTTAAATCAAAACTCTATTTTTCGTATTTCGGAAAAGTCTTCTCCATTTTATCATATTGCAGTAATAATCTCTTGCACGAATTATTTTCTGTCTATTCAATTCTTTTACGCATAGAAGCTTATAATACAGTTCATGTGTTCAGCATTCACTATGACATTCGGTAAGGGTATGTATTCCCTGATCTTTTTTTTAGCATGAATGCTGTGTGCGTATATAATAGATGTCAGGGCACGTTCGAAATTAAGTCTTGGTTGATGCGTTTGATGTGCAAGCATTGACTTCACGGTGTGGCACTGACTGTGTAGGGCTCTGAGTGAAATTAAAAGAGAGTACTACATGTTTCTGCAATAATATAGATGAAAGCATTTACTCCCAAATTTCGATTCACAATAATTGTGCTGCGTGGGTTTCGCCCAAGATTTGATGCTGGTCAGTGTCACAGTAACTTTCTAGACAACCCCATTCGTTTATTCAGTATATGAGTATATTCGAGTTGAAATATGGAAGCGGATCGAAAAATACAGAGTACTTCATTAAAATATCACAGGGGCACAACTGGACGCCGAGGCTTTGATCGAAGGTGGAATTGGATGATGTCGGTCATACTGAATTTGTCGTCGTCTTCATCGTTGTGCAAGTCCTCGACGCTGCTGTCCTGCTGCTCTTCTCCTTCTGATGATGATGATGATGAAGATCCTTGCTGTATGTTGGACACGATCCACGGGAGGTAGGCGGTGGTGCGAGTGAACAGTCCTGGGGTACTCTGGAACCCACACAGGGCATTCCTGGGATCCAGGGTCGAAAGGGTTTGGATGCCGACAACGGTGTACTGATCCGTTCCTGTGGCTGAGTTGGTTTCATGGCGGATCAAGGGTCCTCCTGGGTTACCCTGCATGCACAAAGATTCGCGAGATTAGAATAATAGACGGATGATGATCTGTGGTATTTGTCAACTATGTAAGGCGACATCTACGGGCAATCAAATCCTTCAAGGAATATTGTCTGTTTTGCTTTCCCCCAATAGATGTCGCATTAAGTGCAGCTCGAATTGAAGTACTGACGTTCTATTTGCGCATGATTCCTTTTAAAAAATGAATTGAGTGAACGTCTGCTTTTGTTGAATGATGCACGTGCAGCAGTCAATTAATGGTGCTCTTTTTTTGGAAGTGATCAACTGATACGAACATCGTCAGCACGAGATGTGTCAAATATAATAGAGTACCTGACAACTGTCGATGCCCGTCAACCCGGCACAGGCCAATGTCTCCGTGATTCCAAGGGGAAACTTGTCGTGGAAGTCTTCGGTCTCCCGTCGGTGAACTGCTTCGCACTCGTCGACCGGAGCAGTGACCACTTTCACCTCCGTCATGCTGGTCCCATGCTGCTCCTGATGATGATGAGGTACGTCAGACGCCCCATCATCAACTTCTGAAGAAGGAACACAAAATGACCGAACGATATATTTGGGAGATTCTCAATCGAAATTTGCAAGAAGAACGTACTGTTGCTGGTGCTGGTGGTGCTCAAGGTTTTCCATCCCAGGACATAATGCGCATCATCGGCAGTGGATGAAAAGCCGTGGGTCACTTGGAGTGTCGGTAGACAGGCGGGTCTGACGAATCGATTGAAAGCAACGTCGCGGCTCAACCTAGACATTGTAAGCATGTGAGATTCATCATCATCATCAACAGAACAACAGTAAGGTCAGTCAGTGCTGATTGTGTTGTTGTTTTGTTTATGCTCACGTGACAATGGCGACGTTGTCGTAGAGTCTGGGCGGCTTGAAGCCTCCATGGGCCAGCACTGACGAGACGGGGTAGTCCTGTTCCTGATTCTGCTGCTGCCCGAATGAGCCACTCGTCGCGTCTGTCAAGTTGTGCACCCCGAGCCTCACCTTGGTCACACTGCATTCAAACGAATAACAAGCAAACAGACGCACGCCATGAATAAAGACAAGTCGCTTGTGTGCGGTACCATCAGCGAGTACTGTAGGTATGAAAGTCCCTTTAGTAATGTTGCACTGAATTTATACTCGAATGCCCGAATTTTCCAACCTAAAACTTGAATAAAAAAAATGTACCCCTGGGTAAGACGCGTTTACCCGTTTTTTTTAGACTATTTCAAAAATAGAATTATTCCAAATTTGAATACATATTGATAAATTAAAGTCAACTTGAATCACGATTTTTCATCGATCCCATTTTTTGATTGGTCTGCAGAAATTGATTGAAAATCCTCTGTAGGAATCAAGTACTGTATGAGGTTCACCAGCTTTGAAAAAAGTAATGAAATTATCTAAAGCATCTGCGTATATGACGCACCGTATTTCTTCTTCGGAATTTCAAAAAAATAAAAAATAAAGGTGCGTACTCCATTAAATGCGGTCATCTCTTTTTTTCTGGCATGATTACTGTAGCACCCAACTGTGCAACCACTCGATTTTTACAGCAATAAGAAATATTTGAGACACAGCAGCATCAGCATGTCTTTTTTCTCACTTGTGATAATGTACGCAATGAGCTGCTGTGAGTACGTGGCGATGGGTGATGAGGGTTCCTGTGCAAATCCACTTGATGCCGTCACTCAGCAGCGCCTTTATCACGATGAATCAATTTTTGAGTAACGTTGATTGGAATAAAAAGGGGGGTGTCATTGGGCTGTGTACACAGTACTGTACTGTACAGTATCACATACCATCCAAGGATATTCCCCTGGTCTCTCCACAGGTTGGTCCCCGACGAGGAAAACGAAAGGAGCCTGTTTTTCCTTCCGCTTCTCCGTTGGCTTTGGGCACGTGCGTCCTTCCTCGAAATGGGCACAGCCACAATCTGCAAACGTACACAGGATGCGGCTCAATTTAATATTATTATACTGTGCATCTCAACCTATTGATCTGATTGTACTGTATGTACGAGAGAAGGTAAAATTTTATCTTGTGAATCAATGGGAAAATTGAGGAAAAAATTATATTAGAGCTGCAAATTGATGAAGATTTGCTCTACTGTGATGCTTGTGCGAATGACATTTCACCTTTAGGTTACTCATCATTGGGGATTGTGGACAAACAAAAAAAACTTTTCTCACTCGGGAAAAACATGTCTCGGAAAACTGGGGTTTCAGGGCCCTTTTCCGCGTCGAAAGTGTCCACGAGTTCCATGTAGTTTTCTTCGTCCGTTTCATGGCTTGAGTCGACGACTGTCGTGGACTTTTCCGTCGACGTCAATTTGGCTGCTGCTGCTGCCGCTGTCATCGTCGTTGGAGCTTCAGTCTCAGATGCTGCTGCTGTTGTCGTCATTTCGGTGTCGTCGGCGGTGGTTGTGGTGGTGGTATTAGTGGTCGTCGTCGTTGTGTCAAAGACTTCACTGCTGGTAGTAGCTGTTTCTGCATCCGTATTACTTTCTCGTCGAGGGGTAATAGCATCAGTGACATCATCAACATCTTGCAGTGCTGGAGGCGGGGTTACGTCATCGTTAAACAAGTTTGTGCTTTTGTATCCACGCTCCTCATCTTCATATTCGGCAGAATAAACAGAATAATAAGGGAAGAGAAGGATACGGGATTGTTTTTGTTTTTTCCCTGATGAAGTAATAAGGAATAGTGATGATGTTTATTATGACGGAGGTCATGATGGGTTTATCACGAATTGTTTTTTTGCTATACTGACCCGTCGTCGTCGTTATTATGGACTGCGTGTATGCATCACTGACGGGACAACAAATCATGGGGGTTCTCCCGAGTTCGGGCCCCTCGACCCAGCCGCAGATCTTGGGTCTGCTGCGACTTGCTCGCAAATCCGACAAAGCTGGTGAACAGTTGGCAAGAGTGGTACAGACTCCTGATTCATCCGAGGGGGTTCTGCAGGGTTCTGGTCCCAGTTGGGGGTCGTTTTCCAGCTCCGGGAACGAAACAACTGCAGTATGACAAGATCAATCTCATTATTATTATTATTATCACTTTTTTGTTGTTGTTCAATTCAAAGAGTCGTGCTGGGATCAATTAACAAACTCACTCGAGGCTGGAACAGAAAATGAAACACTCAGCAACATAATCAGGCTGCTGCTGCAAAGAACGACAAACTGTGGACTGAACATATTTCTTTTTTTTAGTAGCAAAACTACTATACAGTACTGGGCAGACGACGAGTGTTGTTTGCTGCGATAATGCTGAGGAACTGAGACTGCTGGGGAGAAATCAGCAAGGGGGTATAGGAGGCATTTTCAGGGAAGAATTTGTGGGTCACCTTTCGATGCGTATCTCTTGCGTGTTCCGGCTTGGGGGTTTCCCCGGGAAAACGTCATCATGCAGAGAAGATGCCTCAATATCTCGTCATCTCTACTTCAAAGAGGAAAAGAAGAGAGAGAGAGAGACATACAGACAAAATATTTCCTTATCAGTCAGGATCCAAACCACGACAAGTCTTTGACAAAACAAAGTTGAATAACCAGGGCATGTGTGGAGGTGGTGAAGGGGGCTTCCCCATCATCATCAGCAGTACTGTATATTCGTCAATAATCAAAGGGTAGAATAATGGAACGAGTCCAAGTCGGTGTTCAAATGTTGGTACCTTTATTAAGCAATTTCTTTCGCATTCGTTCACGGTAATAGCGACGCGGATGGTGGTGGTGGTGGGATGGGCGCTAAGGAGACGGAAAAGAACAAACGAGTCCACAATTGCCAAAAAAAAAAAAAAAAAACGTTTCCCCCTCCCCTCGAGCAATTTTCCGTTTGCTTGTCTGCCTGACGAGAGAAAAAAATAGAGACACTAATTTACAACCAACAAACAAACAAACCAACGAACATCCTCTCACAAAAGTGACGCGGAGCAGAGATGGACGCATCATCTCGATTATCAATGGCCACAACAACCACGTATTCCTGTCCGAACATACAAAAATTAAAAGCCACCCCCCTCCTCCCTGTTTCTTAAACTACCACTTCTCTTCTCTTTATCGTCGTTATCGAAAAACAAAGAGACGACATTGCTTCTGCACATCTCTTTGTTCCTTTTTTTTTCTCTTTGTTTCGTTCTTCACTATTCATACATGAACCAGCAGCAAAAAGGACTCGTTCGAAGACACTCGGATTCCGCGGAAGCTTCAGCGAGATGATGAATTGTTCCAAATAGAAAGGCACACGGAAAAGAAGAGAGAGAGAAGAAATGGGTTCAATGTTCGTTGGAACAGCGCTCCAACAGCATCTACCAGAGGCAGGTAAAACTTTTGAGGGCCTTCTCCTTCTCCTTTTCTTCTTCACCAACACCCACACAAACAACGCTGCTGTTTCGAAATTCGGGCAAAAATAAAAAATAAATACACTTTTTTTCGCGGGATGAATAGAAGGAAGGAAGGAAGCAAGACGAAGTGAAATGAAATAAATTGTAAAAAAAAAAAAAGCCGCGTCCAGCAGTAGGTTGGGAGGCTAAATCACAGCTCGATTTGTTGATCGGCTCCGCGAGGAAGAGTTTTTCTCCAGATGGCGGGTGTGTGTGTGTGTGTGTTTGCTTGTGATGCACATGATGTAGACGAAACACACTAAGCAGCACAAAATGGCGTCTCACACCTCTGACTCGTGCGAAGGGCTGTTGATTAATGAAATCTCCGCGGTTTTTGACAGGGTGAACCGCTCCTCCTCGATCCTGCAGAGCAACGAAATCAAATAAATAAAAACATCCTCGGCATCAGTTTGACGATAACAAACACAATGAGAGAGAGAGAGAGATGAAAACGAGCAGCGTGTGAATGCAGCACAACACACACCTTAGACTCCGGTCAGCTTCAGCGTTGTTGAAGTAGTCGTCGTCGTCGTCATCGTCACCGCCGCCGTCGACAAAACTGCTTTGGCTGCTGTGGCGGTGTCGTCGGTCACGATGCACAACGTGATGCACTTCATCCCCGACGTCATTGTAGTCAATGTCAATGTCGTCGTCGTCTTCGTCATCCTCCTCGGCGTCGTCGCTCGAGCCCAGTCGCAGGTCCGAGTCCGAGTCGTCGTGTCCGTCCTGCATGGCCGCCTGCAGGTCCTCGATCCGCTTCAGGGCCAGCGTCAGGTCCGACTTGAGCGTCAGGATCTCCGTCTCGCACTGGTCCAGCTGCTGCTCCAGGGCGTCCTTTTTGCTGATGGCTTCCGTTTCCCGCAGCTTTTCAAGCAACAGCAATCAATGAATCATACTTATTTCGTCAAGCAAGAAACGCAACCGACAACACTTCACTCCAATTACTAATGAATAGATTGCTCAACCAAAAAAAAAGAAAGAGGGAAAATGGACTACATGAATTCCTACCCGAAGGCTGTACATGTTGCGTCAGTGGAAACGTCAGAAATTATCACGCATGTTCTGTAAAGTTTCAAAATTTTAATTTTAAAAAAAGAGAAATAAAATTTTCTTTTCAAGAACCTCAAATAATGCCAAGAAAAATTGATGCAGTAATTTCAAAGCCTGCCAGCGACTAACACCGATACTTGGCAGTCCATTCTTCATCACAAGTTGCCAGCACAACCATTTGACAGACTGATGGACTGAATGTATTTATTCGTACCTGCAACGTGGCGTACTCGTCTTGGGCGTCCCGCAACTGACGCACGGCCCGCTTCTGTCCCTCCTGCGCCGTCTGCTCCCGGAGACGGCAGTTCTCCAGGTCCTGGTTGAGGGCCTCCACCTGCTCCTTGAGCTTGGTGATGATGGCCTCCATCCGCGTCTTGGTCGACTGCTCCAACTCGAACCGGCTCTCCAACTGGCGGATCTTGGCCGCCAGCTTCTTGGCCTCCAACGCGTGCACCTCCTCGCCGGCCATGGCCTCGAGCCGGGACGTGAGGTCGTTGAGCTGGTCTCGCAAGTTGGCCCGTTCCTGCTCCAGCTGGGCAATCTGGTTGGCCTGGTCCACCAACAGGCCCTGGTCCGCACTCGACTGCTGCACGGCCGCCTTGAACTTGCGCATCACCTCCTTCAACTCGTCCTCGTGGTCCTCGAGCTGCGACAACACCGAGTTCTTCTCGCGCTGCAGGTTCACCACGCGCTGCTCCACCTCGCACTTGCTGCGCGACACCTCGTCCAGCTGGCTCTGCAGGTCGCGGGCCTCGGCCTCGGCCACCTGCCGCGCCTTCACGGCAGCCATCTTGCCGAATTCCAAGTCCTCCAGCTGGCCAACCACAAAAAAAAAAGAAGAAGAAAAGAATTAATAATGCATCAATCCTGTATTCATTGTACTGCTGCACACTCCTTCATACATTTACAAGCCCAAAAATAAAAATAAATTGAAGCATTTCTCATCAAGTTCAAATTGCCTTGAGTGCACATATTGTACATCAAATCAAGCACGAATTACTCACTCACGTTGCATATACTGTCGAACCTCAATTTAGTGCCACAAATTGCCCTGGTACAAATCAGCCTACATCATGTTCTAAAGGAAACCCCCAATTTAGTGCCAACTCACTTGGTGCCACAAAAAATCTTTGTCACGTCTAAAAAATGGGCAGAAATTGAAGTAATCCAGGCACTTTTTTTTTCAAAGATATCATTGGATTATAAGACTTTCAACAGAGAATCATATCCCCATGCTGACATAAAACTCGGGATAAATGTGGAACATCTACTTTTGAATTTACATTATTGAAAAACATTTCTTGTTGCATGATACCCTTGTTCATGATGGCCCTTTATATGAAACTAACTCAAATAAACACAAAATCTTGAGAAACAGCTGTGATCTTTCACTAGACATCATACATTTAAAAATTAAATACAGTACATTGTGCCTTGATGCATATTGTATTCTGAAATAAAAAAAATGAAAAAGTACATTTGAGCTTCAGGTTATTTTCTGTGGCTTTTTCTCTCTTAAAACATCCTGACTGGCCTTGAACATTTCCTCGTTAGTGTCACACACTGTACCGGGACAAACAGTGGCACTAAATCGGGTATTGACTGTACAGTACAGTACAGTACATGTAGAAGCAACCTTTGCTTCATCACTCTCCGTAACCATTCCATCATACCTGGTTCTTGAGCTGGCGGATGATGATCCTCGACGGGTTGTTGTCCTTCTGGGCCCGGTCCAGGGCAGCCTGGGCGTCGTGCAACAGGGCCCGCGTCTTCTTGAGCTCCCGCTTGAGGGCCTGCACCTTGGACATGTCCGCCTTGGACGCCAGTCCGGACGTGTGCAGCTCAGTCAGTTTCCGCTCCAGCTCGTGCTTCTCGCGCACAAGCATCGTCCGTTCGTCGTGCTCCGTCTCCAACTGTGCTTCCAGGGCTGATGATGAAGATGATGGATTCGATGAGAGGAGAAAAAGGAAATAATTATAGTAGATTAAAAAATTAATCTAAAAAACCACGTTTTCAAAAAGCAAAAAATAACCTTAAATGTGGTGCGCATCTATTTCATTTGTATTTCACTTCTTCCCAACAATCTCCATTTGCACCACGTTTAAGGTTATTTTTTGCTTTTTGAAAACGTGGTTTTTTAGATTAATTTTTTAATCTACTATAATTATTTTATTCTTTTTAAAAAATATTCTTAAAATTTATTTTTTCACAAAAGATTGCATTGTCATCAGTTTCTAGGCTATCCTGAAAGTTTCAGCTTGATAGCTAGTCGGGAAGTGAGTGAAATTTGAGTTTCAAAATTTGATCCGGACAAACAAACAGACAAGAAAGTGAGTTAATAAAAACGTGTTAATTAATTAGAAAAAAAAATGTTCCAGGGGGTGGGATTGAACTCGGACCTCTGCGACCAATTCAGTTCACCATGGGTTTTTTTCTTGGGGCCAAGGAAAACCTGCTCAAAGTTTTATTATAGAAATCTACTAAAATTATTTTATTCTTTTTAAAAAATATTCTTAAAATTAATTTTTTCACAAAAGATTGCATTGTCATCAGTTTCTAGGCTATCCTGAAAGTTTCAGCTTGATAGCTAGTCTGGAAGTGAGTGAAATTTGAGTTTCAAAATTTGATCCGGACAAACAGACAGACAGACAAGAAAGTGAGTTCATAAAAACGTGGTAAAATTGGAATCATTCACGAGAGAAGACAAGAGAATAGAACAAGACACACAAACCTCGAACTTTCTTTTGAGCATTGGCTCGGATCTCCTCCATCTCGTCCGTGAGCTGCGCAATCTCTTTCCGATGCTCCTTGCGAATCTGCTCCAGGGACATCTCGAGCCTCGTCTTGGCCGCCTCGCACATTTGCAACTGTCCACTCATGTCGTCCATTTCTTCATCCTGTATGTACATAAGGTCGTTATTTTTTTTTATATTCAACAGTCAGTCAGTCAGCCGGTCAAAGACAACAGGAGAACGAGCATCATCAATATACAGTATATACTCTTCTTTACCTGCTCCTTGACTCGGAGTTCCAGGTCGTGCTTGAGCCGCTTGAGCGCAGTGAGCTCGTTGTCGCCGGCCGACGAGGCGGAGATGTCGTCCAGCTCCTTCATGAGGGCCAGCACCCGCTCCTCCTTCACCTCCAACTCCAGCCGCACCGACTGCAACACCACACCCCACCACTCATTTCATTTCACATTCATTCTTCTTATTATTTTCATAGTCACTATTATTATTATATCATCATTCTTTTTTGATTATCATCATCACACGCGGTGTCGTCTCTTCGTTCTCGATATCCCCGTCAACAGCAGCACAGTTTTACTGTACGATAAAATGAATTCGGGTCTGATGAATCAATCGAACCCAGGTTCATTCTTGGCTGCAAGTCCAAAAAGACTCACGGGACTACAAGGAAAATTTCAGGGTGGCGAATACATGTACTCTCCCAAACTGATGCCTCACTGAGAGCATGGATAATTTTTTCAAGATTCGCTAATATAGTATTGTACGGTATAAAATGAATTTTGGAAAAGGAATAAGCTGTCGATACAAGGCGGCATATCCCTGCAAAAGGTGCCCCATCAGTTAAGAGACGTTTTACAAAACCACAGTAATTCCAAAACAGACTCACTCACACTGTCCTTCGATCTTTGCTTTGGATAAAAGGCTCAGCAAAAAAAAAAAAAAAAAAAAAAAAAAATCAACCCGGCAAACAAAAATAAAAACAATCGACTTTTGATTATTTGGCTGCCATCATCACTTTTTCAAAGCTTTCTTTGTAGCGCTCAAGAATGATTTCATGATGTCCTTTCTACCTCAGAAAACATAAAAAAATATTAAAATAAAACTCTATAAAGGCGACTTGTTCATCAATACGAAGTGTCACACTCTCTTTCCAACTTGAATTCCACGCAAAGGCATGTGCCACTGAGCCTTTATTAATCGATTGACGGAAATTCCTCATGGATTCACGAACCGAACCACTCACTGAAAATCGATGGCGTCAGGGTAGGAAATCAATTATTGACTGCCAGAAAATATAAATTAAATTAAATTCGAGGCGGGACACATTCACATACACTACGACGGCATCGCGCTTTAAATTTCTCCTCAGAGTTGCATCATTATCACATCATAGAACCGAGTACATGTCAATTTTCACGTGTAACTTTGACACCAAAAAAAAATAAAGACGAGCAGCTGATGGATTTACTCAACTACTGTACTGTACGTAGTTCGGAAGCTATCAGACGGGGATTGCATCGAAAAAAAGGGGGACCAGCAGAGAAAGAGGGAGAAGAGGAAAGAGAGAGAGAGAGAGAGAGGGAAAGAGAAAGATAGGTTCGGATAAATTGCCACCGACACTCTGCTGTCGCGACAGAGTGCTGCAGGTTAGGCATTACAGCTACGTATATAAAAGAAAAGTGGACGGCGACGACGACGACGACAGCGTTCCCCGCGCCAACCGACTGGAACGTGACATCACCGCGTCGACAACTGATGACATGACCGTACCTGACCTGATCCTGACGCTATTCGACAGCACCCGCACGGAAGGCAAGAAAAGAAAAGAAACGAAACCAAAAGAAAAATAAAATTTCCCTCAACTGCAGGGAACCCAAGGAGTAGGGAAAAAAGGAAAGAAAAAGAAATCCCTCATATTCTCAGATCAAACCCCCCTCCCCCAGGATGACACAACGTTGACAGCCCGAGGAAAAACCTTCCCCCTCCCGAATAACCGAGAAAAAAGAAATAAAGAAAGAAAGAAAGAAGAAAAGCGAAAGGGGGAGTGAGTGAGTGAGGGTATCCTCGTTCCTTTCCTTCTTCTTCTTCTTTATGGTTGCGGGCTGGCCAGCCAACTAACTAACCAAGTAACTAACTAAGCAATCAAGAAGTCTCTCGACCGACCAGCAGCAGCAGAGAACAGGCAAGACATGAGGTCACTCGGCCGGCCATGAGGGCCGTTGATGAATGAAAACGATATCGCCGGTACATATATGCAGAGAGAGAGAGAGAGCACCTCGACAACTTCTCTCTCTCTCTCTCATTGCACACACCAATTTTCACGGCTCCAATAATATCGGAGGGAGAGAGAGAGAGAGGAAGGAAAATTAGAATAAATGCACTGTTCAAAACTCGACTAGAACTTTCGGGAATTTTTTCATCCGAATCAACACAGAAAATCCCTTCGACCAAGACAAAAAAAAAAAAGTTGGAAAGTGGGCCAAAGGAAGGAAGGAAGGGAAGAAAAAGACAGACAGACAGATTAATCTTCTCTCTCTCTTAAGTATCATTATCATTACTACATTACTATTCCAACCTGTAGAGCCTGTTCCAACGAGTACTTGTCGCCGAGCGCCAAGTCCCGCTCCCGCTGCACCCGCTCCTTCTCGCGTCGCTCCGCCTTGCCCTCGTCCTGCGCCGACAACAGTTCCGCGTCGAACCTGCCAAATCAAGACAAAGACAACAACAACAATGATTATCAGCAAGTCTCATCCCTCCCGAGACTGACGTCATTCACACGCCTCATTCATCCATTCATTCATTCCGATCAATCATTCATGAAGCGATCAAATCCCAATAGCCGTTGACTTTACGATAAGGGCATGGGTCCGTGTACAGTACTATACTGTACATATATCACAAGTACAGAACTGTATTTACAGTTCATTCAACAAAATAAAGAAGGGGTCCGTCGGCATCTTCCTTTTCATGAATGTAAAACTGATGACTCGACCCATTTCGAGTCGAATGATTTAATTTTGAAAATTAACACAAAGGAAACCTTAGGGAAAGAAGAGAGAAAAAAACCATTACAGCACTGCTACCTCGACAGTTCAAAATTAAACGTAACTTACACTCACATTCCGAATATACAGTACAGGAATGTGCTGAATCACAGGAGTTGATCTATAGGAACACACAATCTGACGTGATCAACCAAGTACTGCTCTGCAACATCGAATAGTGTACACTGTACTGTACTTGTACCCCCCATTTTCAAAAATTTTAAAGCCCGGTATTCAAGGGACAAACCTCATCTCACGGAAATAAAACGACTAAACGGCCCGTAATCAAACGCAGCCCCTCTCCAGAGAAGATAACAACTTCGTCTCGTCTTTCTCTCTCTCTCCCTCTCTGTCATATAATGTACCCGTATCAGCGATAGAGAGCAGTAAAACAAATAAAATAAAAAAATAACAAGGCTTCCCAGAACGTTGCCCAACATTCCCCACATTTTCTAACGCCGAGTTTCTCTTCAGTACAGTATTCCGCTCCCAACACACGGTGCTCCAACAATTCCAATCATTCCGAGAAGCAGAACAACATCTCATCAACTACCCAGTGATGATTCAAGTTTCGGTACCTATTCGAAAACATATTGTTCAAAATGTATTGCAATTGAAAATTTTGAGCGATGAACCTCAAAAGATGACCAATTCCAATTAAAAAAAAAATGCATAACTCATCGTTCAATTTATCCCGCGAGAAATAATAGCAGCAATAATGAAACCCCCGATGGAGACCACACGTGGAACAGCACTCACTGATGTGTCTCTAAAAGTCTAAATGAAGAACTGATGAAATAGTAAGCTTTTAACCATTCTTTTCTGTAAACCGTCAAACATCAATTAATTTCAAAACGCAAGCATGCATCATCATCATCTCAATGAATCAATTAAAATGTCGGCGTCTTTCTCAAGCACGTAGCTTCCTGACACACACACACAATCTCTTCCATGCAAATGATAATTTTTTCTTCAACGTCCATGTGACAATTGAAACAAGAAATGAAGCCTTTCTTTTGGACAGGAAGATAAAAATAAATCTCACTTGCGCTGGCGCTTCTCGAGAATGTTGTTGCGTCCGGTCTGGTCCTCGTGAAGGTGCTTGAGGTCGGCCAATTCTCCCTGCAACCGAGTCACCTTCCGTTTCCACTGACTCACAACCTGTCGCTGCTCTTCGGCTTCCTCTTGCGCGTCGTGCAACTAACAAACACAAAGGGTGAAAAAAACAGTAGCAACGTTACGACGAAAATTCAATCATTTTGGTTGCAATTATGTGTATGTGTGTGCAACAAAAACTCACCCGCTTTTCCAAATTCTTCTTCACGTTGATCAACTGCTCCACGTCTTCCTCGTGCTTGGCCAACATCCGCTGCTTCACGTGGTCCATCTCTCGCATAGCACGTTCGTAACGGACCTGTCGACGACGACGACGACGACCATCATCATCATCATCATCATCACTCCTCAATTGATTCAATTGCGGCAAAAACCAAACAAACAAATCATGTCACCTTGTAAACAGCGCCGTCTTCCGGGCCGTCGTCGTCGTCGTCGTCATCGTTGGTTTCGCCGTTGGTGTGTGGGCCCGACGACGACGCTCTCGAGTACATCAGCTCCGTCTCCAGTCGTTCCTTGGACTTTTCCAAGCTTCGGAAATCATTCTATCGCCAAGGACGAACGAACAAAAAAAATAAAGAAGAAAAAATACAATATTACAATAAAATATGTGCACTGGTGAATAAAAGGGGGTGAGATGGAAAGGGTCGAGATGCGACGTGACTTTCACACGAGAAAGAAGGGGGAAAAGTCGATTCTCACGCGTAGAAACCACAACATTGAAAGAAACAAAAAAAGAAAAAAGGGCAACGTACAGTACGTGGTCTCGGAAATCGGAGGAAGAGAAGGATGTTTCCTTCACTAATCGTGAGTAACACGAGTACAGTATCATTAATATACTCTACAGGTGTATACACATACCTGAAGCCGTCCCAGTTCCTGCTGCAGCCGCATCCTTTCCGCCGTCTCCGCCTCCAGCTTCTCCGCTGCCAAAGTGGACGTCGAATGCTCCTCCGCCAAATCAGCCGTCAGTTCGCTCAACTATACTCCAACAAGAAAGCAACGATAAAAAAAAACAACGATCAATTCATGTAAAAAACAAACAAACAAAGGCATTATTTTTCGACGTATGCACATGCGTCTCTGATATTAACACCCCCTTCCCCCCTTCCTTGTTGGTTTAGAACACGTTCATCCCTTACATGAGCATATCGGAAATTGAGATGAATTCAATTTTTTTCGTCCACAAAAAATGGTAAAACAAAAAAAGACAATCTAATTGGGAAAAACCAGGGTTATGCTGCAACCATACAACGACGACACAGCAAATACTGCATCTCCAAAACAGCCACGAAGCAAGTGACATCTACCCAAGTCAGCCGAACCACAGCACGTCATTTCTCTGCTTCAAATTCCCGAAAAAGACTTGGCTCATTTTTTTTGCACGGCTTTCCTTTTGCCCAACCGCTCAATCGAAAGAAAAAGAAAAAAACCCCCATCTCAAGGTCAAAGTCAAGCGCACTCACACCCCTCCCCAAAAATATAGATATTTGTGAGGTGAGTACGGGTTATTCAATTAACCCGCCAACAACAGCGCAATCGTTTAATGAATGAATCACTCAGAAACAATAATCCGACTTTTTTCGTCGTTCTTCCGAGCAAAAAAAAAAAAAAACAAGAAAAACCCAGCTCGGACAAAATCTCAAAACGCAGAGGACCACACGCTAAAAAAAACACACACACACACACACACAAAAAAAAAAGAAAAAGAAAAGCGGGTTCTGAGGAATGTGTCGAGGGTATGTCGGAAATGATAAAAAAGGAGGACATTTCCGCGTCTTAAATCCAACAGAATTGAATAATAAATAAGAACCAACGCAGGAAAAATGATCAAAACATTACAATGAATGATGATGAGAAAGAGAGGCCAGTTAGTGACGTCGTCGGTCCAATCAACAACAACAAGAGAAAACAAAAGGAAGGGGTTTAAAAACGAAATGAAAGCACTTGAAGCCAGCCGAACCTCGGCCGAATCGAGTGGAAGGTTCGGAATGCCGTGGACGCTGTCGTCGCTGCCTCTCCTCATCTCGCCGCCTCCGCCACCACAACGTCTCAAGATCTCCGTCGTCGTCGTCGACGACGTCGTCCTGGTACTCGTTCCCGACGCAGTCGTGTTCATCATCCCCGTCGTCGGCCTCAGCTTCAACAAACCGCCAACACTACCACCACCACCAACAGTCATCGTCGTCGTTGTCATCGTTTTCCCTCCTCCTGTGATGCCAGCAGTCTTGCGCTGTCTCTCGCGTTCGCGACACAAGGCGTTCCAGCCGTCCATGGAATGATCCGACTTGCGCAAAAACTGCTCCACGGCCTTGGACAGCGACGACGACGACGCCGCCGCTTGCGTCGGCTCCAGATAGGAGGATGCCGCTGCCGCCGCCGCCGCAGCCGCAGCACGAGTACCGACGCCGCCAGTACTACTACTAATGCTATTATTAGTGCAAGACACGCGTTGCGGACGACGAAACGACGACACGAGAAGACGACGGCCGTCTCCTCCTCCTCCTCCGCCACCACCACTGCTGCTACTCTTGTGGGACATCTCTTCAATCAAGTCCCCGTCGTCGTCGTCGTCATCATCCGCTTCTTCCAGCAAGAGTGACGCAAGAGACGTTCCCGAGCCGCCGTTGGACGTGAGACCCGGTAGACCGCTACTGCCGCCACTACCGTAGCCACTGCTGGCCCGAGACGCCGTTCGACTCGTCGTTGCTGCTGTTGCTGCTGCTGCTGCTCGTGTGCCAATCATCGCTCCCAAGTTCTTGACAAACAACGACGACGACGACGGCATGGTGTTGTTATTATTACTACTGTTGGCTGTCGCAGAGACGACGGATGATCGGCCAGTGGGGCCATACGACACTCCGGCGCCGAGCTTTGCAGCGTAGCTCTCGATGGCGGCGTCCATGCGCTTCAGTCGCTCGGCCGTCGAGTACCTCAGCCCGCTACCGCTACCGCTGCCGCCGCCACCGCCACCACCACCACTTCCACTCTCCGTTTTCCTCATGGCCTTGTCTTGAGCATAGTAGCTGTGGCCAGTGGTCCTCGTCGTCGGCATCGTCATTCCTGATGCTGGTGGTGGTGTTGATGAAGCGTGGTGGTGTTGGTGCTGGTGGTGGTAAGACAGCGACGACGACGACGACAACGAAGAGCAGGACAAGGACGCCGGCGGAGAACAAGATGATGATGACGACGACACCACGTGGTGGTAGCTGCTGGTACTACCACTGCCACTGCCACTGCCACTACCACTTCCACCACCTCCTCCTCCTCCTGCACCATTACCACCACCACCACCTCCCGGGCTCCACTTGTCTTCTCCGACGTTTGGCATTCTTCAACGATTCACCATTTCGCGCGACACGCACACGGCGGGGGGAGAGTTGGAAAGGGTACGACGACGATTTAAGAAAAAAAAGAACCACTGGGTGTTCGCGGCTCTTCTGGGTGTGTGTGTGTGTGTGTCTGTGTATAGGGGGTCGGACGGGAGGTGAGGTAGGGTAGGAGTGAGTGAGTAAGAAAGGCAGAGAGAGTGAGTGAGTGAGTGAAAAATTGTAGTTCCCTTTTTTTTTCCTCCCTCAATCCGCCATCTATCGGAATGCAACGAACGAGATTCGCTCATTCAATCAACCAATCAATCAATCTCCAGCAATTTCTCCCCTGCAACCGACACCATCACAGCAGAGTCGCACTCCGGAAACCACTCACTCACAAATCGTGTGAAGACGCATTGTAAAAAAAAAACCTCTGAATGAAAGTAAAACATGATAAAACGCGGGACTAATCATGGAAGAAGAGGAAGACGAAGAAGAAGAAGAAACCCGCACACACACACACACGCGCACGATGAGACTCTCAAGTACAGTACAGTACTCTTCTAGAGACCCGACAAGAGACATTAAAAATAAATAAATAAAAAAAATAGAAGAGAAGAGAAGAGAGAAACGATCAAAATTCCGGGTTAGCAAATGTTTTGGCTCCGGTACAAAAGAGCCCCGCAATAAATTCCCGCTGCTCGCCTCGAGGAATGAAACAAAAACAGGTACGCGGGCATTTTGTCAACCGTCCAAAGCATCCAAAAGAAGAAGAAGAAGAAAAGAAATAAAAAGACGACGACGACGACGACTGCTGCGTCAACCATCGCGCATTTCGCCAATCATAAGCGTCTTCTTCTCTTTCAACGGATTCTTCGCATCTCACGCAATCCAAACATACCAAACTCGATCGTCGATGATATTCCTGCAGGGTCTTCTTCCACAAAAATCTACCCTAGCTCTTCTACACTTCAACAGTACTGAAAATTCTCGACGGAAGGAGGAGCAAATTATAATAAAACACGGTACTGGGCAGAAAAATTTACTTTACGACAAATCAATACTTCTTCTTGTTATTCTTTCTCGTAAACCCTCGCTTCAAATTGACTCGAATTCTTTGAAAAGTTTCGACACAACGCAGTTGGGAATCTCCAATAAAGTTTAACGTGTGCTGTACCGAAATTGAGAACTTGAAAAACTGTTTACAGCAATGTTTTTGAAATTAGGTCCAACATTTTTCCCTGGACTTCGTCCCTGTATAAGCAAAACAAAACAAAACAAACAAACAAAAAACACGCAGCCGCAAAGACACCGAGGAATGTTATTTTCTCCAATAACATCGCGACGCTTTCAACATTTTTGCCAATTGTGTTTGTTGGCTGGTCGTTGCAAAGAGGGGGGGGGGGGATTGAAGTGAATAGAATAAGAAGAAAAAGAAACGTTCACTACTCGAACTTCTGTATATGTTTACGACCGACAAATATTTTCGATGACCTTTCCAGAAAAACAAAAACAAAACAAAAAACCGTCCAAACCGCAAAGCTGAAGATTCGTGTGACAGACTTTGAACGCATTTCCGAAAATTTCACGTCGTATACTGTTTCAATCAATGTTTTTTGTCGTTCTTATTGTTTTAAGTACAGCATTCATTTAAATTCTCTTTAATTTCTTCTTCAAGGCAAATACAAAAGTGCATCACATTTTATCACAGCAATCGGGATTTTCCGAGGACACGAAAAGAAAAAATAAAGATGCCTCGGTACTGTATACTGTACTATACTATATAACCTTCCCTCGGGAAACTGAAACAAAGTATCCTTCGATAATCATTCCGGTATACAGTATAAGAGGCTAAATAATACAGAATCGACAGTACACTACACGTCTTGATATCTATTCCAGAGTTTTTGTTTTTTCATAGTGATACACACGTTCCCCGTATAATTCATAGCTGAAATAATTCACGAGCAAATAAATAACCTCTTGTCCCATCGCTTTAGGAAGTACTGTACCTCACTGTAAAGTGAATTCAAGAAATGCAAGAGGAAGTACTGCACGACGACTACGCGTTAATCTGACTAGAAATTCCGCAAGAACATGAAGAAGAAAGTAATGAGAAACGTCTTGAAAAAAAAAAAAGCGCCTGGGTCCAGGGAGGTTGAAAAATTGGCAAGCAGGTCTCAAGGGAAGACAGGATATATATGCATGTGTGTGTGTGTGTGTGTGTGTGTGTGTGTGTGTATGTATGTGTCTGCAGCAGTAGAGATAATGATGCCTAGCGTTCCGAGAATACATTCCAGCGACTTGAAACTAGCAACTGGGAAAATATAAAAACCCTAGCCTTGACCCTCCGCGCAACACGATCTCCGCTGTATGTGTATCAAATTGACATTCCATCCCGTCAGGTGAGGAAAAGAAAATCTCTCCTGACTTACAAGATTAAAAAATAAAAAAAAAAACTTAGCACACGCTTCACTTATCCTGACTTGAGAAGTATCGTGGCAAACTTGGAAAAATCAACAAGAACAACGACAACAAAAAAGAGACAGATAGAGAGGAAATATTTTACAAAGAAAGACGAAAACTACATTCGTTCCGGAACATTCCTAATTAGCCAGAAAATCTCCCCTCCGACAGAGATCGAAATTCACGGAACAAAACACACGCACAAAAAAAAAGAAACTTTTTCCCTCCTGCTTTTTTTTCCCCGTCTTTTTCTTCTTCTTCTTGTTGTTGTTGTGCGCACACACACACACACACACACACACACGTCAGGCGTGAAATCGGGAGGCTCAGATTTGGCAGGCTAAGAATCCCGCATAACTTGGCACAAGCTGACCACGTCATCTCCCCGGCCTCGGAAATTGGAGCCATATGTGAGGCCATTAATATTATTCTCTACGCATAATAAAGGAGGGTCTTGTTCGAAACCGTAATTCAATTCCTCCTCCTCTTCTGTTCCAAAGGACTTACAAAAAAAAGAAAGAAAAGAAAATGCCACGAGCCAACAGGAGTCGCTCTTTTTCTGCTTATTCTTTCTCCTCCTTCTTAAATCTAATGAACTGGAAAATTTCCTTTTTAAATTCTCGTCTCCGCTTAAAGTTGACAATATACGAAACAAAGTCACTTTGTGTGCGCTTTCAATGCACTGCACAACTCATTTCCACAGAATCGACGAGGAAACGTGCTGATTTCACGCAACAACAACAACAAAATTTCGATAAATTAAACTAGCGATAAATTAAACAACTTTTTCTTCTTCTTCTGCTCTTCTCGGTTCGTTTTCAAAAATTGAAAACAAATAAAGGCCGGGGATGGAGAAGGGGGGAAAAAAGGGAAGGAGGGGGGGAAGGGGTCGGTCTCCGTCACCGGTGACACCGTGTGCGACACTGACCGTCGACCTCGGCACTGGCAAAAACACTCCCCGAGACCATCTCCGTCGACTTCGGCAAACGCAACGGCGCCAAAATGACGAACCAAATAAACTTTTTTCCGCCCATCCTGTGAGGGATTTTCATGAAAGTCTCTCAAATTCAAGGCATCGCCAGTTTACTCGGTCGACAGTGTTATCACTATAGGGTGAGTACAGTATTTTCTTGTCGTTCTTTAATGTTCAATACAGTATTCATCTCTCTCATTATTATTCTTCTCCTTCTTCTTCTTCTTCTTCTTCTTAGTGATCAACACAAGTGAGAACCTGCTTTCCTTCCCAAAAAACAAGACTGACTCAATTCGACAAACCAACAAAAAATAAAATATCCCGTCGGTCGATAACTTCTGTCAATATATGCCTTTATACAATGTGAGGATCCTTGTCTTGTTTCTCGACATCTCACTTTTGAACGTAGGGAGTACAGTTATTTCAAATTCAACTGCAGTCTATAAAACTGACTGGGACAAATTTCTGAGCGAAAAAATTACAGAATTGTTCGAGCGAGGAAAGGATACGATATATGAGCTCTAAAAATGAGCACGACTTTGCCCATTTTTGCGTTCTATAATGCTGGGCCAAAAGAAAAAAATAAAAAGTATGGATTTCATTTTCGAGACGTGTTATATTCCGATAAATACAAAATGACACAGTGAGCTCGGAAAACTTTCGTCTGACTTCACAGTCGCGACATAAAAATTAGGAAGAAATCTCATTCGATAATAAAAATCTTTAATTTTCGGTACAGTCCCTGTCATTCCCACAACAACAAAAACTAAATCAATCAGACGACGACTGCTTCAGCATAATGGTAATTTCTGGGATCAGTGAATTTCACACAACAGGGACTGTAGGGAAATCTAGAAAGAGATTTTCATATTAAAGATAGGTCCAAAAGGTATTTTTGCACATCTGATACCTACTCACCACCTATCTGATAAATCAGTTCCCACGCTTCCTACGCAGAACTTGTTGGAACCCCACAGTGAAGAATACGAAAACACGAGGACAAAGAATGAATAAAAAGGGCTGAATGAGAAGTGAAAAGAAAAAGAAACCCCCGCACACACACGGACGAATAGATAAACGAGCAGGAAGGTCGGGTTTGTGCCAAGATGCGGGTGAACGAGCCAAGGTTCGACGTCGTCGTCGTTGTCGACGGCGGCGGCAAAAGAAAAAGACGTCGAATATTTCTTCCCACTTACACCTCGGCACCACAAGCGTTCAGACTCGGGATTTCGGGATCTCTAATTGCTCTTTTCTTCTCCTCCTTTTCCCTCTATTTTTTTTTCTTTCTCTAGTAGGCCTCAGCAAATTGGAAAAAAAAAATTTAGAGTAACCCCGTCCTTTATTTTCCTGGAAATGCTTTCAAAGAACCACGTTCCCAATTTTATTTGTCTTCTTTTCTTTCATTTTAGTCTGAAGCACACGACGTAAAGTTTGAAATCAAACAGGAAACCAAGAACAACAGCTTCCCACATCGGAATGATGCCAAAAAAATATGAGCTCGACGTGATGTTCGGTATGTTGTTTCTTCCGAGATGGATTCTTGGCGTTTACGATGGCCAACCGACGCCGGAAAGTCGCCCGCCGTGTTGTTTTTGTTTCTTTAAATCTCACATTCAAGCCTTCAGTTGTATGTTTCATTCGTGAAAGTTTTTTTTTTCGCTCTGCTATTTCATCGATGACTATAAATTGAATTCAACCGAAGAAATAGTGTTACATTTACCTTTTATAAATTTCCGGTGGAGCATTGAAAAAAATTAAAAAGAGTCATCCCCCGAAAAGTACTCATCACGAAGGTAACAAGCACAAATTACACGGAAATCCCCTTTGCCAGGGGCTTATCCCACCCCCTCTGTTAACAGACAGACAGACACACACACGAGGAGCTAGAGACTTTCTCATCACTTTCCCGGAGAGAAAATACGGGGGCAGATGAAATCTCCAGATCCTCGCGTAAAAAATGAAGCCAACATTCCCAATAAACCGGAAAAAATATGGATGCAACGGAAAAGTACCTACAGCACTCTGCGAGCGAGTTTCTTTTTCTTCCCCGGAGAATAAAAAAAAAAAAAAGCCCGACGTCGTGGTTTACGCGGACTTGGACCTTCTCTCAGCAGAGCATTTCGCACTGACGCGCCAAAACATACACGCAGAGAATTTCGTACAGTATATATTTTGCTTTGAAAAATAACGCCGAGATATACATGTACGTACCACCACGCGCTCGTTGGAATGTTGAAAACAGAACAAAAACAAAAAAAGTCTCGGAAGGGCTGGGGGAGATGGTCTGGGTTTTGTCATCAGCATTCTTAACAGACGGCGAATAAATTACAACTTACCCGATTGAATTACAACTACAGTACCGTATTTCAATCGCATGGAAGACAGGTACTCTCTTCTTTTTCAAATACCCCTTTTTTGACCCCCGTAATCCTGGTTTCAAATGTTTTTTTCACTCACCCGAGCTTCGAGACGATCGTTTGCCGATTTCAGCAGGCCCCGTTCTTTGTCTGCCTTTTCCACTTTTGCTCGCAACGTCTCCACTTCTTCCTGATGAAATGAAAAAATAAAATCAATCAATTAAGAAGGATAGAAAAATCCATGTTGATTCTTCAGACAATCATGTCAAATAGTATGTGCTTCTTCCAAAAAAAAAAAGTAAATCTGTAGTTGGGACACAGTCAAATGGACGAGAAACCTATCTTACTTTGAAAGTTCTCAAACTTTGATGAAAATAAAAAAGGCTACTCAGTGAATTTATAAACTATAGGTTCACCCAAGGGATCGGCTTCATTATTCCGGAATTCTGGATGCCGAAAGTACGGTTTATCAAAGGTTCGTCGCGCACAGTAAATCCCTGTTTTTAAACTACTGTAATTTCAAGCCACCCGTACAGATTTCGGTTGCAAGAAGACGAATTTTCAATAAAAATTGACACTCTACTACACTCTAAGCCCTGTACGATGGTACGATGAATCAAATCAAATCAACCAAGGACAACGTACGGTGCGGGACTTGAGCTCTTCTTCGGTTCGATGCACGTTCAGCAACGGGGCCACTTTGGTGTAGAGGCGCCACCAGGGCCAGGACCTGACCGCCAGGTACTTGGACACGTTCCTCTGGATGCACCTGATGGCCACATCCTCCACCTGATGACAGGAAGAAAAAATAAATCAACAAAATGTGCATTAATTTCAGACTTGTTCCCCATTCCTTTCCATCCTCTCCCACCTGCCCAGGGACAAGAGAGCGAGAGAGAGAAAAATATACTGTCTATATATAAGACAACAATAAACCGGAAGTCCTCTCCCGAGTAAAGCACAGTACATTTCAGTACTTCTTCACTCGCCAAGTCAGCACATGACACGCAATTACAGATGACAACTTCCGCTACTATTATTGTACTTTACTTGTACTAAAAGACAAAACTCGAACGGGTTTCAAAAAATAAAAATGAGAAAAAAAACCAACAACAAACAAGAGCAGGGAATCCAAAGAAAATTGTACTGACCCGCCGTTTCGCCAATTTCCGCCTCGCCAAACATCCTCTGCAATACGCCTGCAACATCACGATTCGACCCTGGATCCGCTCGTCTCTCAGGCTCTCCAACTGGGACAGCACTCCTGCCCTGAAGAACATCTGCAAAACAAGTAAGAAGTGGAAAATACAGCAGTTGAATGAAAAGACTGTTTTTTTTTTCGTTTCTACCCGTCGGAGATGAAAAGCGTGAAATTGTTGATAAGAGGGGGTTGCTTGTGTTTTTTGTTTTTTCAACAAACCTCAAAGGGATCTTACATGTTTACAAATAGAAACCATTCATGAAGGTTTCGGAGACAGATTAGGGGGATGAAGATAAACTGTGACACATGATGACGAAAGAAAACAAAAAACAAAAACCGGGATCGTGGAGAGAACCTCGTCGGGTTTGACGCTTTCTTTTAGCGCTTGTTCTTGTTCTTCTTCTCCTCCTCCATTCTCGATAGTTTGATCGTTGTTGCTCTGGCAAATATTTTTGTACGACGACGACGCGTCCGACTTTTCGTCACCGCTGTCACTCGATTCCGTCGTCGTCGAGGTCGCCGTCGTCGACGACGATGACGACGACGACAACATGCCCGCTTCCGACACATTCTCCACAGCACCGCTCAACAACACGCCAGAGTCGGACTTGTGCAAATCCCCGTCCCGACTCCGATGCACCAGGTCTCGCAGTTTCTTCAGCGTCGAATCCAAGTCATCATCATCATCACCGCCTTCTTCTCCTTCTTCTTCATTGCGATGATCCTCTTCGTTTCCTTCATCATCGTCTTGGTCTTCCTCTTCATCATCATCATCATCATCATCTCGATCTTGCTCTTGGTGTTGCTTTTCGACCGACTCTGCAGTGTCAACGTCGACAAGACAATCGAGTCTATCCGTCGCCGCACAGCTTTTCCCCTCGTCACGACGACGATGAAGACGATCATCATCACCACCATCATTATCACCACGACCACCATGACCTCGTACCCTGTCGAGAATGCCCCTCAGTTCCGCCCTAAACGCGTCCACGTCAACAGAGTTCCTTTCCGGCCTAGACAGACACGGCGTCGACGCCCACGTTTCCTTCCGACGACCACCACCACCACCAACACCACCACCGCCGATGCTGGTGGTGGTGGCTTCTCCTCTCAAGCCACCCACAGCGTCGCGATACCGCACCCAGCCCTTGGGCCACGCCGCAGAACCACCGGCTAATGACGTGGACGAGGCGGATGCAGAGTGAATCAAGTCGTCGAGGCGTCGGGTCGGCACATGATTATGATTATGATTACGATGATGATGGTGATGCTGGCGTGATTGCATGCACTTGTCCAGACGCTCGACGGCTCGTGTCTCTCTCCCACTGTCCTTGTTGCCGACGGCAGTGTCTGGACAAACGGGGGACGCCGTCGCCGTCGTCGTCGTCGTCGACACGAGCTTCTCAAACTTCTGCACACGCGTCATGACCGACGCGGACGGAAACTTGGGCTCCATGCCCGGAGACGCGTTTTGCTCTTCATCTTCAACTCTGTTGTTTGTCTTCCCACCACCACCACCAACACATTCGTCGTCGTCTTCTCGTTTCCCTTCACTCGTCGTCGTCTTCGTCTCTTCAATCTCGAGTCGGTCCCACGAGTCGGACCAGTTGGGCGACGACTGGTTGGCCAAGCTGCGCCACAAATTGGTGGTGTTGCTGCTGCTGCCACTGCGGCATCCACTACCACCAGCAGCACTTGTACCTGATGCAGGTGCAGGAGGAGGACGAGAACAAGGTGGCGACGGTTTGCGGCGCAACGTTGGCCTTGGGATCCACCTGCCGACATACTTGAGTTCTCGATGTCCACAATCATCATCTTCAATGTAATCCACGTTGTTGTCGTCGTTGTCTTCTTGTTCTTCTTTTTCGTCCTTGGCCACAAATGGAGACGAACGCTGCTGCAGCTGCTGCTGCTGCTGAAGACGCGTCAATTTTCTTCGCTGCTCGTCCTCCCGCTCCTGCTTTTTCTGCAGCAACGACGACACCGACACCAAGTGCGGTGAGCTGCCAGACAGAGTCCTCCTCCAGGTTTCTTGGTGCAGGTACTCGCAGCTGCTGCTCGAATGCGTCGTCATGTGTCGCTGCTGCATCAAAGACGAAGACGAAGACGACGACGAGGCAATCCGTGAAGAGGAGAAGCTCTTGTACAACTGCTGCTGTGGTGGTTGTTGTTGTTGTTGAGGTACTTGTCGTTCTTTTTGTTGTTGTTTGGGTGGCGGTGGAAGAGGTGGAGGTGGAGGAGGAGGAGGAGGAGGAGGAGGTGGTGGTGGCGGAGGGGGTGGTGGTGGAGGTGGAACAGAAGGCGGAGGAGAATCAGGCACACGTTCGTGACTAGCACTCCGACGACCGACGCCGAGCCACCTGCTGCTGCTGCGTGAGTCAATCGGTGAATTCGTAGTAGGGCTACTAGGATTATTATTGTTAGTCTTCTTCTTCTTCTGCGATGTCTTGGTCAACAACGAAGACGACGACGACGACGTCCCTCGACTCATCATCATCATCGTCGTGTTTGCCGACTCAAATCCCGACGGCCGCGACAACGAGTCGCTGCGTCGACGAGCCGAAAACGAAGACGGAGGCGGCGGTGGTGGTGGTCTGCACAACGATCGACGAGACGTCGACGGTGAGTCCACGCCAACCTGTTGTTGTTGTTGTTGTTGTTGTTGCGGTCGTCGACTGCTGCTACTGCTGCTGCGTGTGGTGTGTCTCGGCAAGTCCTCCACCATTACAGCAATGTCTTCAGCTGTCATCACGGGCCCAGGGCCAGCAGCAGCAGCACCAGTATTAGTAGTAGCAGTAGTAAAACCCCGAACCCGCTCCAACGACGGAGTCACGTCCACTCTCGTCCTCACCAGACTCTCTCGAACCTCTTGTTGTTGTCTCACATTCCCACTGATGCCCTTTTGTTGTTGCTGCTGCTGCTGCAGTCCCCTCGTCACCTTGTTTGGGCCACAGAACATTGGTGGCACTGCTGCTGATGATGGATGCTGCTGCTGTAGCAGCAGACTTCTCGGACTCGGCACACGCGCCTTCAACGTCGGCGTGGGAGCGACCTCTACATCCACCTTGATGAGAGTTTCTCGCATCGGCCCATCACCGGTGCCGCCACTGTGCCCCGAGTCTCTCAACAAAGACAAAGACGAAGACGACGACGAAGTCGACGACATCATCCTCTTGTTGTACGTGGCAGAGGAGTTCTCGCTGCTCAACTCGACTACATCCTTTTCCACGCTCCTCTTATTGTCACCCGACTCGGGAGGAACGACCTCTAGGTTCACTCGGATGAGAGTTTCCTTTGGCGGACGTCGACCACCACCACCACCAGGAGCAGAACTGTTGCTGCTGCTGATACAATTGTGTCTCCGAGACGCACCAGCAGTGTTGTTGTTTGCTGCCGTCGTTGTCGTCGTCGTCTCACTGTTGTTGTTGTTATGCTTCAATCGCACGGGATTCAAACACGTTTGCCCCTCCACAACCTCCGTTTTCTTCATGAGCGTCGTAGTGGTCATCATCGTGGTCGTGGTGGAGGAAGTGTTGTTGTTATTATTATTACTATGATGATGATTATTGGCGGCAGATGCGAGAGCGCGTTGCGAGTTCTTCGGCGGCAAGCGCGGAGAGGAGGCGGCACATTTGGCGTCCAGCACGACCTTCACGGGCACGAGGAACTCTTTGCGACGACGCGACAGTGTCGGAGTGCAGATGTCGACGCGCGACCGACCACTGCTCGGTACGGACTGCTGTGACACAGCAGCAGCAGCAGCAGCAGGAGGAGCCGCCGTCGACGCCGCCATCATCATCCTGTGCTCCAAGACTCGTCGCCTAAATCTCTCTCTCTCTCTCTCTCGCTCTCTTCCTCTCACTCAATCATACGCACTCATATCCACTTTCGCGGCTACTTTTTTTCTTCTTCAAGTTTTCCCCCGCAGATTACAGTCATTTGGAACAGAGAAGAAACGAAGCGTGAGGACAATTTTATTTCATTTTTGTTCGTCTTTCACGGACAGATCGCCAACGAACGGGCTTCTCCGCAAAAAAAATAATAATTCATGAACAGTGATTACACGAGTTGCATGTTCGCTGATTTCAATATGATGATCATAATTTGCGTCGCTCGGTTTTTTGTTTTCAACTGGAGCAAAATCCCACACCTCGACAAGATGGGAAACTCTCGTTGATCATCTTTTTTTTTCCAAAGGAGAACTGAGGGACGGACTCGACCTCTTTTTTTTTTTTTCAGGTTAATTGACGCAATCTTAATTTAACGACACATTCTCGAAGCAAATGATCATGCATGTATAGAAGAGATAAGTAGGGTGTGTAGGGAAAAAAAAGAGGGAAGGGGGTTCTGACGTAATCAAGCAAATTCTATTCTTCGAAGCGAATGACTAATAACCCAGCAGACAATAATAGAGAAAATCACGGATCTTTTTCCTGAAAATGCCACCAATGTTCGCCCCAAATCTCGCTACGACACCGAACTTGAAAAAAAATCATTAAACACAATTCATTTTTGTTTTCCCGAAAATGTGTGTTGCTTCTTCGGAAAGAAATCGGGATTTTTCCCTCGCCGCGTTCTTCCGTACTACGTCCCACTCGATTCCGGATCTGAATTCTCAAAATTCGTCAAAAAATGCAACACGGCTTATCACCATTATTAATTTTTTTTTCGATGACCCAAAGCTTGAGAATCACCTTATATATTGTACCGAGTACAGTAGAACTCGGAATGCAACAAATGAGATCGCAGAAAATATCCTACACGGATTCTAATACTGTAATAGTAAAATGCGATGCAAAAACTAAATTCAGCAACGATGAATTCAGCTCAGCTCATCTAAATGAGCATGCGTTACGTGAGACAAATGCTCATTAACACACGCAAAAATCTTCACGGCAATGAAAATGATGGACGAGCTCGAGATAATCCAAAAACTAGATAGATAATGTACAGTATACAGACGAAAACGCTTCAGCTCGCGCGAACGAAAGTCCCGCCCACAAATAAACTGATTTTAAATTTTATTTTTAATTTCATTATCCTCAAAAGTCGAGAGATGGCGAAAGTGCGCAACGGGAGACACACTCGTGATTTTCATCCAAAGTACTGTACTGTGCTGTGCTGCACTCGAGATGTCGATCGGAATGTTACACTTGCTCACGACGCCGAAAAAATTGGCGTTGGGCGTTGTCGCCGTGGGGATTTCTTTTTCGCGAAGGAAAGCAAATTGATACATGAATAAATAAATAAATATACTGTACACGGAAACAGTAGAAAAATGTCGACGCAGTTCAGATGGACTTTTTGTACGTGGTAAATATATGCGTTCGCGCAGAGATTCCTCGTTTCCGTTTCGCGGAAAACACACACACACTCTCTCTCTCTCGCACGATAGAATAAATAAATGAAAATCTGTACGAGCTACGAATGGAATTTTTCACGCATAAATCCCTTTTATCGCTCTTTCTCTCTCTCTCTCTCTTTCTGTTTCTATACGCGAATGCAGAGATTTCTTCTTTCTTTTTTTACTCTTTCACCATGAATAAAGAAAAAAGAAGAGGACAACTGCGTCAGAGAACGACGAAAATAAGACTAAAAAAAACTGTTGATGCCCATCCATGGATCGATCAAAATCGATCGATTGAATCCGCACACACAACTGACGAGTGAGAATATCGTCCATCCCGAAATATACTCTCGTCACTTGGTACCAATCTCTTCCTACCCTTCTCCCTTGTTTTTCTCTTTCAGTCAAGTCAAGTCAGTCAGTCAGTCAGTCAGTGATGGAGGAATAGGAGAGTGGAAATGGGAAATTTGAGATTTTTTCGACTCATCGCCCGCCGGCATTTGATTCGACGCATAATAAAAGAACCGAAGGATTAACAAACGGAATCAAAACCACACACACACACACATGTGCGGAACTGCCAAGACAAAAAAATAATAATAAGAATAAACGAAACAGGATTCCAGAAACTCAATCGCAAGTCGGGATCTCGCATTTCTTTTCTTCTTTTTTCCCACTTCAACGTTTTAAAAATCCTTGAAGAAAAAAAAATACAGTAAATACGAATATATCTCGCAAACAGGTCGTCGTCGAAGAAAAAAAAATCAAAGAATTGAGAATCTTCGAAAATTAGCGAAATGAGCCAAGTGTATAGACGAGCTCCGTTCCTTCAGCGCGGCTAGTTTGCGGATTTACCACGTCCACAGCAGGCCGGTATTTGTCCCATGAACCCCATCAAAATTACTTGGATTTAATTACATATTTAAAAAACGAAACGCGTCGAAAACATATACAGTAGTTTAACCCACTTATTTTAAAAATGCCGCTTGACTCTCTCCTTCTGTAAAATCTCGTCAGGTTCGTTGTTTTCATCAGGCGACACCTGTCTGTCATCTCAACAAGTAAAGCTGGAGTCGGCTTGTTCTAACACGTCCTCTCGACAACACGAGAATCAACTAATAAACGCGTGAAAAACGCATCAGAAATGCTTCCTCTTGACACTCTTCCCGATGAAGATACTCCTTGAATTTTAATTCTAAAACAACAACGAAGATGGAGGAAGGGGAAGTCGGAAACGCTGTCAGTCACATTTTTCTTGACGCATATTCACGAGCGAAACTAACCTCACTCATCTCTAATGGACCGCGGATGGTCTGTTTGTTCTGTCACAAAGAAGAAGAAGAAGAAGAAACCCGCTGCTACACACACACACACACACACTCCGCATCACGCGCTAATAACATACAACCGCTTTAATGACCGCATTTTCTACATCTCTCTCTCTCTTCCCTGGTGTCAAACACAAGGCCCCAGGATTTCAGCCCAAAAAATAAATAGAAAAAAAGCAAAACTACGACGAGGAAGAAGAAGAAGTGGTGAAAAAAAAAAAAGAAATGCGCGAGACCCGGACGGAAAAGAAGAAACCCGCGGTACTCGAATCGGAACGCCATCACGTCGTCGATTTTCGTTCCACCCCAAAAGGATACGGCAAATGTCAAGCAATAAAATAAAAAAATAGTAATGATAAAAACAAGAGATGAAATACAAGAACCTCGTCGTCGTACTTGTTGGAATGGCATCTCGAGTTAGAATAATAATAATAATACGGAAGGAAAGGCAAATCGTGCAAGTGACGATGACGACGACGACGACGACAATCAACACATTCGGGACACGTTCCGCTTCTCTCAATCTCGACTTCATCCCACGGCGAACCAAAAAAAAAAAAAAAAAAAGGCAGGGCAAAAAGTATTCCCCTCTCAACCATAATTTGTCTTGTTGTTGCTGCCTATCGTTCCTCTTTTTTTCTCTCTCTGGCGGAATTATCAAAGAGATTTGGAAAATGAGTTAAAAAGACATAACCAACTCTGTCGTTCTCATCCACGAAATCGCTGCAGCAATTTCACTACTTATTTTTTTCCTTCTCCCCTCCGCAGGAAGTCCACACAAAAAAAAAAAAAAAGCCATCGTGCTGTGGAAAACTCAGCACTTCACAAAGCAAACAGAAAAATCGCTCGAAGCATTTGCAAATAAAGTCAAAACCCCAATTGAGCACCACCCTCGGCAACCGCCACTCAATTTTGAAGAAAAACAAACCTTTCCAATCATAGAAGCATCGGAAACCACGTTAAAAAGCCATCCGCCAAAATCATTCATTGACAATTCGAATGTGCTCGTGCCAATTAATTTCACCTCTCATTGCCCGCCAACAAGATCCAAGTTTCTGCGAGAGGTCTCAAACATAATAAAATAAAAACAAAAACACAAAGATTACTTAATTTACTTCTTGATGAGAATATATTACCTAGAAATAATTTACGCATTCCAGGATAATATTGATTAGAAATTAAATAATTTCTTATTATACTCAACTTTCGTATTCTTTCGGAATTTTTAAAAATAGAAAATCAACCCCCGTTAAACCCTCACAAACGTCACGAAAAAATAATGGCGGCTTATCGAGGTTTGACGACAGGCATTATCGAAAGAAAAAAATAACCCCTTCCTGGTGAACTCAAAGAATACTGTACGTTCAACTAGCAATGATTCGGAGATGTGAGTGCAAAAAAATGCTCTCGTAACTTGACTGCCTGCTAAAATTGTCACGTGCCCAAGCTAGAACAAGAAATACTGTACATAAAGGGAAAAAACGCAGGAAAGTCCCTCATTTTGTCCAGTACATGACACTACAGGTATTGTAGATTGTACTGTATTTATGGATTACACAACTCCCCTCCTACATGCACATACACACCAACTTTTGCTCGGACGCCAGGGCACCACAACACTCTCAGGCCAGATGCCACGCACAACACACTTTTCCCATCCATTGTCATCATCATCATCATCACCATCATCGCCGTCGTCGTCATAAACATGCTCCTTTTTTTCATGCAGGCAAGAAAACGTAACACAGTGCCCGACTGGCCTGACTGGGTGCTGCAGAGCAGCCAAGTGGAAACCCCCAAAAAAGAACAAAAACGAAAAACGGGGGAAAACTCCCGTTTCTTCACCTCATCATTTTTTAAAACCTGTACATACCGAGAAAAAAAAAACCCCCCTCGCACAGCATTTTCGCGACTTTACCTTTCTCGAATCATCTCTCCTCTCATAATTTTCAATTACAACAGGAATAGAAAGAATAAAAAATAACACTTGGGAATCACGCAGAACAAGCGAAAGCCACAAACAATAGCACCATTGAATGTTCCCTCAACTATGACACGACGACGACGACGATGATGACGAAAACGAGACTATTCATGCTTACGAAACGTGTTGTCTTTTTTAATGCGCAATTAATCAGTTCCCATTAAAACCAAAATTGAAGAAGAAAAAAAACTACCGGCGAGGGAAAGCGAGCATAAATCGCATCGCACGGAGGGTCCAACTTTCTTTTCATCGAGAAAACTTTCCTATAAATTAAAGGTGAAAATGCGTAACGCGTTTGCGTACATTGCAACGCATAAAAGTGACATTTTCGACAGCAGCAGCAGCACAACAACAAAAAAATCAAATCCAAACATGATACTTCTACGATTAACTGCGCACAGAAGCAAAAGACTAAAAAATAAAACTCTTGGCCAAAATGTTCAGCATTGCTGCTGCTCTCTCTTCTTCATTCATTTTTTTTTTCGAAGAGAAAAACAAAATCAAATCCTCCACGTACAATTCAATGTCCGTAAAGAAAAATGGCCAACGAAAAAAAGTTGAATCGTATGCAGTAAAGAATATGTTGTAGAGCAGACTCTCGTCATCACAATTATTGCAGACAAAGAATTCCTTTTTCAGGTACCCTCCCGGCACAATAGATATAGGTATACAACGTTAAACAAACCCCCCCCCCTTCATACCGGAATCCTCGTTATAACGAAACCTTTCCCCCCCCCCCCCCAGGTCCCCAACTGCTTCGTTGCAACGATATTCTACTGTCAAGTATTCATCGTATTCGTGAGTGACACGCAGACCATGAAACAGTACAATTTTTCAAATCGCCGCCGAGAAAGCAACACGACAACTACACTGTTGCCGTCGCACCGATCGTCACTAAACGACGACTCCGACAGGAAATGTGGATTTTAAAAAACCCACAACGAAAAACGGAATAATCCCCTCAACCGATTTTTCACCAAGGCCACAATAAAAGAAAAGGAAGAAGAAAAAAAAAGAGGAAAAACCAATATATACACGTCCTCCTCCTCCTCCGGACACACGAAACAAGAGAAACATTTCAGTGGCCTCTCTTCGGAAACGAAAAAAAAGAAAACAGAGTTGTGCACACGCACACACACACACACACGCACACGCACACACACACACTCGCTCGCGTACGTGTACGTCCGAATAAAAACGTGCGAAAGCAGAGATTTTCTGCCTCAGAAAAGGAGGAGGAGGAGGAGGAGGAGGAGGAAGTGAAGCCAAAGAAGAAAAAAAAAGGGGCGCCGGAAGTGGACAGGATATCATGCACCCCGGCATTTTCCCCCGCGCGCGCGCACGCGCAAAGGCATCTCATCGGTTTGACAAAAAACCCCGCCACAGTAAGTCACGTCACGACACATCGTGTGCCAACGACGATGTGCATTGATTTTTATTTAATTTAAACGGATCGGATGACAACAAGCATTTAACAGAGAGAAGGAAATGAGACTAAAGAAAGAAGGAAGAAAGGAAGAACAACAACAGGAAAAGAAAACACACGTGTGGTCAAGAAAAAAAAGGGGGGGGGGGGGGGGCGTTCAAGCCACACACACATAAAAAGGTAATTCCATTCTTGTTTTCTCCGTCTCTTTTGCCACCCATTTCATCTGAAGGGTTCCACACTAATTAATTGCCATTTCATTTCCCGAATTTTGCAGACCATTTGGTCATGAAAACTACGGCCTCAAGAAAGTTTGATTGCGGCCAGTTGTTGTATTGTACAGTACTGTATAGTACATACTGTATTTCCCCAAATCCGACCTGTCCATACAAAAAATAAAATAAAAAATACAGAAACAATGATATGGCACGGGATAGGATGATCTCTCGGCAGTGATTTTTTTGTTTTTCCTTCTCTGGGGAATTTCAATTTTATGATGCTCAACTCCATCTACTGAAAGATTCAGTCGCCAAACCAATACGGTATACTGTAATATACTTCATATACAGTTGAAACTCTCATGACTAAAACCCCTAAAATCCAAATTTCCCTTTCCGAATTTCCTTATAGAAGCAATGTTCAGTATTTAAAACCTCCCGGAATTCCAAAGTCGGAATTCCTGTAGAGGCCATTATTTTATAGACGCGAACAGGAAAAAATAATAACTTGCAGTCGAACGTCTTCAAGTCGAATCTCAAGGGACCAGCAAAAAAAAAAAATCGAATTCGGGAGTTTTTCAACTATAGATGTTTCAATTATGGATACATGAAGAATTTTTTAAATGGTGATAATCTCGGCCTTAACTTGCTCCTAAAATGAGTTGAAAGGATATGCTGAACTTTGAGGCAGGGGTTCATTGGCCCAATTTAGTCTGTCACATCCTTTCAAAACACATCAAATCCCGTCTTCTTTTATTGCTTTTCTCCTTCCTGTGTCAAGAAAATACAGTACTGTACTAAAATAGCCAAAAGGTCTCCACAAAAAAAAAAATCGACTTACTTCCTCTTCTAGAGAAAAAAGCCTTTGAGTTTGGGAGGCTTTTAATACAGTACATTGTGTCCAAGAGAATTCAGACGGGGGCTTTCGAAACAAAACAAAAGGGTAGGGAGGTATTCAATTCATCGAGGTTCAACTGTACTTTTCAATAAAGGAAGTGAAAAACAGTCATTGGGCAAATTAAAACTCCGTCAACTGATTGAAAAAAAAAAAGCAATTCAAGACCCATACAGAATGACTCCAATCACCAAATCTTGTTACTTTTTTCCCCTGGTCCCGCAAAGTTGGACTGAAATCACATCACCGCTACAACACACACGTGGGTTATTGTTGCCACAGTGTGTGTGTGTGTGTGTTCTTCCGGAAGAAAGAAAGACCGGGTGACAACACTGCTGGTGCAACGCAAGCCGCAAGTCGACTGACTTGACTTCAACTGACGGTGTTCCGCAGCCAGGGCAGGAAACAAAACTTCCTCTCCCGGTCCGGGCTCTTCTCCCACTTCCTACCTTTTTTCGTCCTCTTTTTCCTATTCCTCCTTCTCTTTCTCTTTCTCTCTCTCTCTCTCCCTATAAATATATATATATACATATATATCTCTGCCCCTCGAAATTTTTCCTACAAATTATTATTACTTCTTCCTCTTTTTGTCGTCGTCGTCTTCGCACGAGCGTTTCTCAAATCATGCAAGTTACGACGGTCGGTCGGTCGGTTCCTTCCGACCGACCATCAGCACAATTCCAGAAACGCAAGAGCAGCTCTCGCGCACCTCTTCCCACGGGTTTTCATCGCAACTGCTGCTCATACTAGCGAGAATTCAAAGCCCCTTCATCTTTTATTGCATTTCAATATTGTAGCCAGTCCATAAAACCCGAGGGCAGGCAGGCAGGTCGATAAGGGAAAAGTATTTCCATTCCAGCAACCATAGCGCAATGAATCAATCCCTCGATTCACAGACGGCCCATCAACGGTTTATTCCGTCTCCAGAGCTTTATTATGGCGGAAATATTAATAGAAGAACTGCAATCGTGAGATACATACCACACTTTTAATCCCAACACAACTCGGCGACTTTAATATGCCGTACGCACAGAAAGAGAGATACGGTACACATTTTTTTAAAAAATTCATCCACACGCTCACCTTGTCTTGAACCCCAATACAGTACTGTACTGCACATCAAAGGCAAGTCCAATTAAATGCATTTGAGCTACAAAAAATTCAACACTCGCAGACCTTCCACAAGGAAAGGTTTCTCAAGGCCCTTTAAAAACATTTTTACTGGATTGCACTGTGCCTACAATGAACCAACACAATTCCAATTCCAAGTTTGGCACAGGCTTATCAATTTTAAAAATAGGTATTCAAAGGTATCGTCGTTTTCATTGTGGAAATGAATCGCATTTCTTAAAATGAGACCAAGAAAGATGCTTCGTCCCACGTAATTTCTACAAAAATAAAGTACGGTACTGTATACTTACTACAGTATTTTACTGTACTGTATATGGGTCATACGACGGGAATGAGCACTTTTTTCCCCTTTTTTGCGGTAGATTTTCTCCAGACAACTTCACTTTGATGTACCTCGCTTCAACTTCAACTCCTCATCCTCTCTTGAAATACATTATTCTACTCAACGTTGGCTGATCTCAAGGGTCGTGCATGATTAAAATTAAAAAATTAAAATCAAGACGGCAGGCAATACTAAAAGTGGAAAAGTGCTCTAGAAAAATTCTACGCATTAAAGCCACTTTCATCTTCACAACTTGAACATTTCTGCGCAAGGGACTCGGGAATAGAACCCCCGACCATAACATCCTTTCGTGCCAGCAAGTTTTTGCCGAGCAACATCCATCTCGCAGGGACCAATGAAAAATAAAATCCCAGAGCATAAATGCTCCGCGCAGACCGCGCGGAGGAGGAACCACGACCGGAAAAGGGACGTCGACCCAATCCCGGGTCAAAATGGAGGAGAAAATAAATGCATATTCGCAGAAAATAAATGCAAGAATTCCTCGTCTCACAAATCCCCTTCCCGCGTTCCTCAGACACGCAATAAACGCGAGAATTCATAGCGGCACGGAATGGCAACGAAAAAATTGGCAACAGGAAAAGTTTTTTTTTTTTTTTTGACGACGACGACGAATAACCGAAAGTTCGTCGACACGACCGTTCTTTTTTAAAGTGGGGCGGGCACAGAGTCCATATTTCTCAACACCAACTCACATCTCGGCGCGTTTCCAGTTGCAATGATGAGAAATTAAATTCGATCATTACACAAGACACGAATAAAAATCGCATGGAAACCCGACATGTTTCCTCAAACGAAGAAAAAATGGAGCTTTCAATACCCGTGAATAAGCAAGGAACAAGACGGAAATTTCGAAAGCTCATTAGGCAGGCAAGGATACGTTGAAAAATAAAATTCACGATTGATTTTCACTACAAACATTCGACCACACTTTACTATATACAGTATATGGAAACCGAACCTGGATCATAGAGATCGGACAAAAGGCAACCAAACACATCCCACACCCAATGTCGACAGCAGGGAAAGTTTGAAAACATTGTATTCTGCTCATTGAAAAATTTAACAGTCGTTGAAAGTCGAAGAGCGAGCAACCAAAATGATTGTTCTTCCTTTTTGCGTGTTTTGTTTTGTTTTTGTGTTTCCCATCCATCGGGTTATGTCATCCGGAAAGCCACACATTTGTTTGTTTCCACAGTACTGTACTGCACAGTTTACTTTTTGTTTCCTTCCCTCCCCCCCCCTCTCCTCAACTACGGTACAGTACTTGTTTTCATTTTGTACACTTGATGGTTCAGTACAGAGCTTGGAAAAGAAAAAATAGGGACAATCCGTCGGCTTATTCTGGCCAGACGCCAGCAAGAGAAATTTTCTCGCGGTTCCAGAGATTCGGCTTTCCTCTGCAACCCCCCTGCCGAGAACCACCCCGGAAGAAAGAAATTTCTAGAAATAGCCACCGACTTGCTTTTCGCGTTCATGTACAAGCAGAGAGAGAGAGAGAGAGAACGAGATACGGACGACGGGAATTTTGACTCCCAACCCCCACCGTCAGACAGGTACACTAATCTACTATACTGTACCATAGGATAAAGGAATAAAACCCAGAGACAACGTGCGTGTTTACACGAGAACGGAGAAGAAATGTACACCCCCTCGTCTCGACACCGCAAATCTCGACTTCGTTTAAAGTCGGCTGCTGAGAGAGAGACCTTTTCCGATTTCATCAACAAATTAACACACCACTCCGCAAAGCACAACGAAGACTATTTTTCTTCTTCCTTCGCGCTGGAAAACATTACAGCAAGAAAAACTACGTATTGTTGCATTTCGCCACCGTCGTGAGGAGACGACAGTAAATTACCCGCTGACGGATGACGATTATTCGCAAAATATGGAACGCGACAAAACACCGCTTTTTAGCACAGCTCGAGAAAATGGAAGGTAAACCACCAGTTTTCCTCAAAGGACGGGGAAGGGGGCTTGAATTTTTCTCACTACCAAAAAAAATGAAGAAATATTACTGAGGAGAAGAAGAAAAAAAAAAAAAACGCTGGCTGATGGGAATTGGGACAAATCACTGTCACTAACTGGAACCCTCTTAGTCCCAAATTGCCTGCCCAGTTGAGCTCATCTGTGCCCGCTTCTAAAAGCCTCACTAAAATAACAAAGAGTATGAGGCATCGACACTTCGAATGCGCAAGAGAGACTGTCAATAGCAATTGGCACTGTTTAGTGGCGATCCGATCAACTATCCACGTTACTCATGCTGTTTCGCATACAAATTTTGTATATATATATATACACACAAAAGATGAGCTTCAACATTCCTTTCGAAAAGAGAAAAAAAATGTAGACCTTAATCATCCCAAACGAGTTCTCGTGTGAGTCACGGTATCTCTCACGTTTTTCTTCCCACGAAGAAGCAACAAGAAAAGTAGGAACATGTGGTGGTGGTGGTGATGGGAGGAAATCACACAAGTTTGTTCGCTTCAGTTTCTATGTGCTGAGTGTGGGAAAAAAAAGAGAGGAGGCAGGAAGAAGAAGAAGAAGAAAAGGAAACATGTCTCACCTGACTCAGTCCGACGCGGAACACGTTGGGCTCCAGGTCCATTTGCGGGACCAAGTAGTCCAGGATGAGCTTCTTCTCGTCATTGATGGACCGGCCGCCAGACTCGGCCCTGGCCTCGGGCGGCACTAGGACGCCGAATTTCCGCACAAACTCGCGGAACGGGACCGAGTCAGGGAAGCCCTGTTTGTGCACTCGCACAGCCTCCAGAATCTGCGCACCTCGCACCTGAAATCATCGCGTTCAAACCGCTTCATTTTCGCACGTGTACACGACTTTCAGACATTCAGAAAGAGGAAGAAACAAACAAACCTGACTCCGAATCAACGGCACATTCATCAAGATGTCGTCCTTGGCTCTCGGGTCCGACGGATTCGGCTGCTTCACGTCGCACAGACCGGCGTTGTGTTGCGGCAGGAAGCAGTGGACAAAGTGCACTCTCGTCCTCCTCAAGTTCTCAATCAGCCCATCCTGCATGCATGTACGCAAAAAGGGACACGATACGAAAATTACAATCACTGTGCATTCATCAAAGTACTGTATATTCATTCAAAAAGGCACAACATGAACTCAAGAATTTTTCCTGCATAGTGTGAATGGAGGGTTTTGCAGGCTCGAAATGACAACAGGACATCGGTCGAAATGATCGATACATTAATTGCCGCTTCGAACAAAACAAAATTTGGAATCGAAAATTATGTAAATTTTATGAACTATTTTCGTTCACCAAGGCAGAGACGATTTGTTTCACACTTTATTCTACCCAACGAAGTCCAAACCGTTTCCAAGTTCCTCTTTTTTTTTCGCCAAACATGCATTTTTGACTGGGTCCCACAGGCAGAATTTCCATTTAAAAAAAGCAACTGCACATACTTTTTTTGCATTATGCTCTTGAAATTCTTGAAAAGCAATCTTAGTCTCTACGATAAATTGCAACTTCGTCTGTTCTTTTACTTTCGATACATACCCTGCCAAGCCATAGAAAAAAGTTGGTAAAGAATAAAAAAAAAAAAAAGAATTGCATAGAAGATAAACGCACGGCCTGGAATTTAGTCTGGAGAGCAACGCTTTTCCGGCGGATGGACGCCGTTCCGGTGGTGAATGCGCGACGGATGGACGACGCTCGTCGCAGCCCGACGCCGCCTTCGATGCCCGCAATGGAGCCACTCATGATCCCACCGGCTGCTGGCCTACACGCGGCAAAAACCTCACGCACGTCGTCCCGAGTCGACGTTTCCGTCAGGCAGCTGGCCGCCGCCCGAACCATCGGGTTCTCACGACACGCCTTCAGCCAACCATTCACACTGCCGGGCATCCAACGAAAGATTAACAAGTCTTCACAATCTCAATCTTTCATCTTTCTTTTTTATTTTCATTGATTTCTTTCTTCCCTTTCTGGATGGTTTTTATGGAAGAGCAGCTCGAACAAAAATCGATCTCACCTGTAGGTGACAGGACAGGTTCCTTGCTGATGAAATAAAGTGATTCCTTGTTTGTCGGGTCCGGATGATACGAGAGGTCGCCATTCTATAAGTATATCATGAAGATTCTCAAATATATTTTCATTATTTCGGGAAAAAAATTGAGGAGGATTTCTACAAGATCTCAAGGGACTCCACAAATCTTATTTTTCAGGCGGGTGGTCGATTTTGATTTTTCCGAAGATCTTAAATTCCATCCCATCATGAAAAAAAAAATTGGTACGATAAAGAACGAATCGCGAGTTTTTTTTTTTTTTTATCGTCCACTGTACTGGGAAAATCAATAACATTAAAAATGTTGTGGCAACATGTTTGAGAACAAAATAAATGCAGTCTTGAAATACTGTACAAGACTTTGTGCCCGAGCACTTCATCAAATTTGTTGCAGGTTTCGGTGACTGACAAAGACTCCCCAGCGAGAATTCGCAAAATGAAAGCACGCGTCCATTCCTGTTCATCCATCCATTCGCAAAAAAAAATAACGCATTTACCTTCGTTGTTCTGGGTGGAAATTCTTAGAACACGGGTTTCTAAAAAGGAACAGTTGCTCATCAATCAACCTCAAAGACGACTTGTATCGTAGGTAAGTCGCAACTTTCAACAAAGACCAGGAAACTTCAGACACCTTGATTCAAAGTTTCAATTCATCGCTTTCGCCAGCTGAACCTTCTATCTTTCTTAGAGAAGCCCTTGGCACAAAACCGTCTTATTTCTTAAAGAAAGCAATAACCAATTAAAATCAGGAAAAATTGGAACGATTAAAAAAAAAATCGACAGTGATTTTTTTTCTTCAGAAAGAAAACTGCTTCCGGCCTTCGGTATTCCTCGAGCCCAGTTTACGCAAGTCGTAAATCTGCACACTGACGCTCGTAAAAGAAAGTTTATATCTCCTTGCCAATCTTCCTGGATTACGAAACATTACACAAACATGCAAACCATGATCACGATGAAAACAACGGAGATTCCGAAATGCAACAACTTTCTCGTTTTCTTGTTCCAATAATCGCTGAAACCAGAGCCGTAAGTACTGTACTGCACTGTACTTTCTCCTTTCAAATACCAGTCACTCTCTGACATTAACGACTCGAAAACATGGCTCGGAAGTCCGGCAAGAATTTCATCATTTTTCGCGCTTCTACGCGCCGACTCACTTCGGTCATTGTAAAGTCCGGCGACGCGGTCCAGCAGACTTCGGTCCGACGATCCCGGCAACAGGGCCTCGTCGTCCAGCAGCCAAAGCAGACCCCTTCGATCCCCCTTGGTGTCGCTCACATTCGTCCGCGACACACTGTGCGACTGGTTGGCAAAGTCCAGCAGGTTGACCATCGGGCCAGGTGACCCGAGCCCGCCGTCCTCCACACTCAGGTCTTCCACGACGGGGAATTCCACTTGCTCCTGAGCGTATCTATCTTGCGGCAACGTGAACGTCACGTCGTGGAACAGCAGCTGCAGTCGTTCTTGCACGTAGTTGTGGCACAAGTCTTCAAAGGTGGCGCCCGACTGGCGCCCGCACGTGGCCGGGTTCTGCACCCCAGGCGTGTCCACCACCACGATCGAGTTGGACGCCTGGCTGTTGCTCACGGAAATCGATCTAAACGCGGGGGAATCACGAAAACATCATAAATTCAAATCATTCAATATACAATCATTCATTTCCACGATAAAAAATAGCTCACGCAAAGTTTCTTTCGACCAAATGCACGGAAAAAAATCATTCTAATAATTCTAATTCTAAGGCGTGTAACACAGTTGTTCTTTGAGGCTTCTAATTAGCTCAATCGGACCATGTTTAAACCAAACAATTTGTTTAAAAAAAAGCGGGAGAAATAAAAAATTGAATAAGCAAGTCTCAATTATGTCGAGGATGATTCGTCCTGATACAGGATAAATCAGCTCTTTTCGCACACCAGGACAAAATGTATCTGCACTAAAAGGCATTCTAATTAACCTTCCCGATTAATGACTCCTTTTATATTTTAAATCGACACCTCCGAAAATTATTTCTCTGCTTATTCGAGTGCAATACGACAGAAGGGCAACTTCAATGCGAAGTGGATAATTGAAAAAAAATATAAGTAATTCCATGCGGCGAGACAAAGTGTTCGTTCTCACTGATTGTGACACACAGCCCTCACGGCAAATACTCACACGACTCTTCTCGATTATAATTCTCCAAGATAATTATACAGGGAGGGGGGGGGGGGGGGAGGCAATCAAGGAAGGTCAGGAATATGCAGCTCTCTCGCCATTGCATCACTCCGACGAAACTCTCTCGCGGTTACATTTTCTCCGCCATGTACAGTACAGTATATGCAGCCGCACTGACCGGTTAATGAGGGCAACGAGGGCCGAGAACACCTCCGTGTAGAGGCCGGTGACGAAACCCTCGATCGCCTCCATCGCGGGCATGACCCCAGTGCCGCTGCTGAGTTGAGCCGTCGTCGGCGTCCCGCCACGCAGCACCCGCAGCAGCTCGTCCTGCGTCGTCCCCAACAGCGACGCGGCCCAGGCCCCAAACTGTGGTCGGATGAACTGCAGCTTGCCGCCAGGACCTGCCGAAAAGATAATATAGAAGCTATAACAGCACAGTTGAACCTCGAAAACTCAAATGCCTCACTATGTCGAATTTTCTTCAAGTCTCTTGATTCCTTTTAGAAGCAATGCATCAAAATCCTCAACAACTCGAGAGCTTTCCTCCTTAAACATTTATATAGTAAATGGAATTTTCGGGCGGCCTTTATCGGAACACAAAAGAGAAAAGCATGAAAATGTGACTTGATGCGTATTGAAAACCCTTGCCTTCAACCCTGTCAACTCATTCGGAGGCAAATTAAGGCCTGGAACATCCCGATTACAATTTCCTGTGATCCTTTTTTTCTTTTCCCCCAAAGAAAATGCTTGTTTCCATAACTCGATTTTTTCTTCTGTTCCCTGTAAATTCGACTCGAAGAGCTTCGACTGTATTCACAGTACGTAAATTAATAACACAAATTGTAATACAGTAATCGACTATTGATAATCGACTCACCGTGCGCAGCGCCAGCGACACCCAAGTGATAAATAGCTGCCAGAACGGAGCACAAAACCCGCACTTCTTTCGGCTGAATGTTCAAGCAGTGCATGGCACCCATGATGTGGCCCCAAGCGACAAAAGCTCTCTGTTTATCTTCGGCCTGCCGAAAAATTATTAAATTGAATACAAAATAAATAAAAACATGTATCAACAGTAACGAAAGCGAGACAGACCCTTTGAAGAGGAAAACTGTGGTCGGATGAACTGCAGCTTGCCGCCAGGACCTGCCGAAAAGATAATATAGAAGCTATAACAGCACAGTTGAACCTCGAAAACTCAAATGCCTCACTATGTCGAATTTTCTTCAAGTCTCTGGATTCCTTTTAGAAGCAATGCATTAAAATCCTCAACAACTCGAGAGCTTTCCTCCTTAAACATTTATATAGTAAATGGAATTTTCGGGCGGCCTTTCGGCTATTATTTTATCGGAACACAAAAGAGAAAAGCATGAAAATTTAACTTGATGCGTATTGAAAACCCTTGCCTTCAACCCTGTCAACTCATTCGGAGGCAAATTAAGGCCTGGAACATCCCGATTACAATTTCCTGTGATCCTTTTTTTTCTTTTCCCCCAAAGAAAATGCTTGTTTCCATAACTCGCTTTTTTCTTCTGTTCCCTGTAAATTCGACTTGAAGAGCTTAGACAATATTCACAGTACGTAAATTAATAACACAAATTGTAATACAGTAATCGACTATTAATAATCGACTCACCGTGCGCAGCGCCAGCGACACCCAAGTGATAAATAGCTGCCAGAACGGAGCACAAAACCCGCACTTCTTTCGGCTGAATGTTCAAGCAGTGCATGGCACCCATTATGTGGCCCCAAGCGACAAAAGCTCTCTGTTTATCTTCGGCCTGCCGAAAAATTATTAAATTGAATACAAAATAAATAAAAACATGTATCAACAGTAACGAAAGCGAGACAGACCCTTTGAAGAGGAGTCATGAACATGCACGGTGGGCACGAGCCATCGACGGCGACAGCGTCCTCTAAATGCAACTGTTTCCTCGTCGCGGCGTCGACGCCGGCCAACATTTGGTAGAACACGTGGAAATTGGGCTCTCCTTCCGGTCTTCGCACCACCCTACTTTTCTCCAGCATCAAAATCTATAACGAAAAAAATAGAAATAAATAAACGAAGCAAAAATGCGTGATTTTATAGTTTTTGAAAAATAGATTGTTATCATCTCTCTTTCTTTTATTCGATGGGAGAAAAATGTTCTCGGAGAATAAGTAAAATACTGTACCTGAACCGACGCAGACACGACGTTCCCGCTCGGGTCAAAGTCTAAAGAGAAGACGTTGGAATATCGAGATGCGTTCGTGTTCATAACTGTCCTGCTGTTCCCGAACGCATCAAGCAACTTGAACACAGCATGCAGCTTGTCCACTGGCAAATAATACGAAAAAGCCATTCAAGAAATGTCTACCGAAAAAAAATATAAAAAACCCGTGGACTACAAAGTAGGCTATCCGAGATTTTTAAAATGCTTCTTTTTTTCTCTTCCGTTTAAATCGTCTGCTTTTACTCTGGTCTAAAACGCCAACTTATTTTTTAAACGAAGCAGCAAACATTTACATCAATCTTTTGACTCGTTAGACGTTGTTCTTCAGTAGAAAAAAACAACATCGAGAGCGACGACCAACAGAAGAGGAGGGAATAACTCGCTTCCAAGTTAGGCGAGCAATAACATTCTTTCTGATTGATCGCCACGGGGCTTCATTCACGATCTCAGCTCTTCTTTTCTTCTTCTTCAGCGTCATACAATGAATATAACACACATACGGAAACAAACAACAAACACGAAACTCAATCCCTTTTTCTTCTTCTTCGTGATTTCATCAACCTTATTCATGAATTTATTCATTTATTCAGTCATTCATTACCAGTGATTGACTTGGAATGTTGACCGGCGGTCAGCAGCAGGTAGTTGAGCACATGCTGGGCATTGGTGGTCTTGCCACTGCCACTGCGTCCCATGAGCACCACGCTTTGGTCCCGCCTGCTGCTCAACATGGCGCCATGGGCCCGCTGCGCCACCGCGTAAATGTGTGGCGGCATGTCCTCTGCCCATTTAAACGAAGCAGCAAACATTTACATCAATCTTTTGACTCGTTAGACGTTGTTCTTCAGTAGAAAAAAACAACATCGAGAGCGACGACCAACAGAAGAGGAGGGAATAACTCGCTTCCAAGTTAGGAGAGCAATAACATTCTTTCTGATTGATCGCCACGGGGCTTCATTCACGATCTCAGCTCTTCTCTTCTTCTTCTTCTTCTTCTTCAGCGTCATACAATGAATATAACACACATACGGAAACAAAAACAAAAAACACGAAACTCAATCCCTTTTTCTTCTTCTTCTTCTTCGATATTTCATCAACCTTATTTATTTATTTATTTATTTATTTATTTATTTATTTATTCATTCATTCATTCATTCATTCATTACCAGTGATTGACTTGGAATGTTGACCGGCGGTCAGCAGCAGGTAGTTGAGCACATGCTGAGCATTGGTGGTCTTGCCACTGCCACTGCGTCCCATGAGCACCACGCTTTGGTCCCGCCTGCTGCTCAACATGGCGCCATGGGCCCGCTGCGCCACCGCGTAAATGTGTGGCGGCATGTCCTCTGCCCGGCATCCTTTAAATAATTGCGCCACCTGCAAATCCCCGGGGAGACGCATTAAACAACATTTTAAAAATAAAGCAGCGCCCACAAAAGCCTTTCATTCAACGAATTTCGATGAATTCCTGCCCGGTCATTGTCCCTGTTGGCGTCACACCAAGAACGGTGTCGGGTCGAAAAAGTTACTGCAGTGAAAATGTAGAAAAAATAAAATAAATAAACAAGATCACATCATCTTATTTTTTTTAAATATCCACCCGGAACCCAATCGTTTCCCCATTTCTCGACTGCTACTGAAAACTCAATACTGTATGAACACACCAAATGAAACTTGGAACGCATTTTAAATTCAGCTGAAATGCAATGATTCAGACATACGCATATAAAGTTTAAGGCTCAAAAATCTGCCATATAGTACAGTAACACTTTGGAAGCCTTCAACTCATGTGTTTGATTGAGAATCACGCAATTCTAATCATTACAATTTTCTTTTTTTATTCGCCGACATTTGTAAACCAGCCACCTTTTCAGAGTAGACAGACAAGAGGGTCATGGGGTTGACGACGAGAAGCGAGTTGCCGCCGGCGTAGGTGTGCACGAGGCTGCTACCATACCGCTGCCGGATCACGTGCAGCACCGACGACTCGTTCACGTACCGCAGCTGGGACAGGTCCTCGATGTGGTCCAGATGCGGAGGGTTTGCCTGCATGCACCAATGAATCACGCCAGCGAGAATGATACAATCAATCGACGACACACAGTCAATGTCACTACTACTCCCTTTCGGCATGAAAAACAAAAACCACACCTTCTCAACATCCTCCTGCTCCACTTCAATGTCGTCTCCGTTAAAGTCGAGCTTGACGCGGATCTTGTCGCCGCCGTCGCTGCTACCGACACCGCCGCCGCCGTCACCGTCCTTGAGAACTGCGCCGCCACAGAAGCCTCGGCGATGCACGACCCACACTCGGTCCGCATCCAGCCACGCTTTCTCCGTCGCCAGCTGTCCATCCGTCTTGGCCTGAAGAAGACGAGGACGACAAAGAAACATTATTCTTCTCGTCCAGCGACAATTCGCAAATCAAAACAACGCGGAGGGGGAAAGAAGAAAACCAGAGAATAATGAAGCTAATAACAAGAATAGTGCTGTACAGTACAGCAATAATCGAAACAGCACTTGAAAGAGGGGGGGGGGGGGGGGGGGGGGGGGGGNGGGGGGGGGGGGGGGGGGGGGGGGGGGGGGGGGGGGGGAAGAGACGCGGGGAGCACAGATCACTCCAGCTTCCTATTCATTCAAACGAAACTTGTACCATCGTCGGACATGCAGGACACACGTCAGGATGAAAACGTCATAAATTATACAACGACGACAACGGGGGACCCAGAAAATAAGAATAATAATCGGGTTTCTTCGTCATCTTGCCCAAGGTCACTCTGACAACGACGAAGAGAGAGAAAATACTAAACCCCTCACTCACTCACTCACGTGATTTCTCCTCCTGCATCAAATTCGATAAAATGCAGAGATAACGCGACAACTCGCAAAGACACCCAATGGAAACGAGCAACAACAACAACGACAAAAAATGTTCGAAACTTTGGGACGAGCCCCCCCTCTCTGGTTTTAATCGCAGTCCCGGGTCTCATGATTGCCCAGCTGCGGGGCGTCCCGGAACCAGGTCAAGGTAGGACCGCATTCTACTTTCACACACACACACACGTCGGTCCAGTTAATCAAACCTTTTTCTCTCCTCCTCTCCTCGATTCCCCCCAGGAAATGAAGTAAGGACACAGGAGACAAACAAAAGTAAGGACCCTCGCGTAACGCGGGGGACGTGAACAAGAGGCGCCGCCGTCGCCGCCGAAATACTCTATTGACGCCCCCAAGGCAAGGCTTCCGACTAATTCGACACGTGACTTGAAAAATGAAAGGAAAAAACAAAAAGAAGCGCCATATATCTCTCATTTTAATTGTTCTTTCTTTCTTTCTTTCTTTGCATCTGGTCGCCAAGAAACGGGTTTCGTATCCTCCAAATCTAAATTTTCTAATTTGCACGGAAAAGGATCATCGTCATCATCCCGATTCCACCACGTCGAGGGCTGTTCGTTTGTTTTTTTCCTTTCTTCTTTCTTTAAATGTATCTTCATCTTGTTTCAATCCCCAATAAGTGAACCAACAAGTAAGGATGTACAATACTCAATTATGGTTCGCCGCACCTGTTGCACGTCAGACCATATTAATCGCCTATTAACGGCGTCAGACTCGCTCCGAACAAGCTACAGCACTAATTTCCAATTCAACACCCAACTGTACTCTCCGATACTCGTTCGAACTGCAGCAGAGACACAAGTTTTTTACATGAGGGGGGTCTAGGTACTATGACAATTCAAGATCTACAATGGTGAGGCAGGAAATAATTGAGACAGCGACTATTTCAGACAATCTTGTGAGCTACATCAGTTCTGCGTCTCCGTTTCATAGGCTTGCTTATATTTCTGATGATTTTATTTAGTGTGAGAATTGAGGGCTAATAATTCCATGAATATCCAATCAGCAGAATAAGATACGGTTTCTTTTTTCATTGGGTTTTTGAATTGAAGGACCCACTTTTCTTTGCTCTCATTCCTCTCTTGGTCCATTTCGAACAATGTTCTTCCATATGTTGTTTAAAAAGAAAAAAACAAAAAACAAAGTGAAGAAGAGAAGAAAGGTGAAGACGTTTTAGAAGGTTACGGTCTTAATTTTTGCTGTCTTTAATTGTCACTGTCTCGATCTGCCCACATCCCTTCTTGAGTTTGCCACATAAAAATTACACACGTGTTTCTCTCTCTATCTTTTGTTCCAAACATGGAAGGAAATGAATCCAGTGCCTCGGAGAGAAGGAGATAGATTAAAAAAAGAAAAAAAAAGAGGTGGAGAGGAGATCATCATAATCATAATCATCAACATGATCATTAAGCAGACTCCGTCACATCTCGCACACGTTCCCCCCTTCCACGCCGCAATTTCCTCCCTTTTCAAGAATCGATTGTTGTTACCTTGAAGGCTCACACATGTTGGGGGACTCGTATCGCGTCAAAAACCCAGGGACTCGCATGCAATTGATGCGTCTTCAAGGCCTTTTTCCGAGACACGTTCAACAGGATGAAACCAAGAGTGAGTGAAGAGCATGCATGGTTCACTTCTTCTTTTTTCCCCTACACACGTGCTCTCCAAAGAGATGAGGTCGCAATCATCGTTTTCACAGATGGCGCATCATCAAATGCTATCCACGGGGTTCCATCAGAAATTGCAGGAAATGATTTTGAACAATCTTCACACGCTTGTGAAAATCCACGTAAAGAAATTTTCTTCGGGGAGGGGGGGAGAAGGAGGAATAAACCCACTTTCGCGGTTTCCGTTAAAAACGCTGCTTTTGCAATACCGTGCGTCGTTACGAAAATTCTCGGGTCAAAACGAAAACGCGATCATCAGTTGTGTGAACAACCCTCTTCAATACTGAAGTCCAGCAGTACAATCAACTAATAAAAAGCGTTGCCCAACACACGGCGGCCCGCGGGCCACAACTAGCCCGCAGAGACTCTTCATTCGTCCCTACCCTAAAATTTTCCAACTTGGCAGCCGCCACTATTCAAAAATACGCAAGATATATTGAAAGATGAATTCTAAAATTCAGAAATTCTACATGACTGTGCTTGTACAATAATTAAATACATTGCACTGAATCAAATTTCAATCCTTTTTAAAGTACTGTATTTCCACATCACAGTTGGTGGGCATCACGGAATCTACCATTACAGTATCTATAAATTCCTGATACAGTACAGTGTTATCCGTGACTCCACAAAAAAAAAGCGCACGCATGTAGAGTATATTCTTTTTCGAGTGAATTTTCAACAACAGTCTCGCATGGCATTTTTTTGTGTCTAGGATTATGTAAAATGTTAGAAAGAGCGGAAACGAGTCGTTCGACGACGACGACTGCATTGTGACCATTACTCGAGGAAAATTCAAAGCCAGTGAATAATGAAACACTACCCAAATTAAGTACGCACTCTTACTTCCACCATCTCGACCAAGAAAAATGTTCTACAAAACAAAAAGCGCCCTCTTCATCTACTCCCTGTCACTGACGAGAACCTCGAGAAATTATGAAGAGAGGAGAGAAACCGAAACAGAAAAAAGAGGAAAGAAAAGGAGGAGACTTTGTCAAACTGTACGAGTTATCCTCCGAAAAGAATTCTCGAGCCGGCAGCAAGGCTGAAACGTTGCGCAATTTCCTCATCCATCGCCTCGGGATCTCGATTGCAAATCGCCTCCCTCCCCCCCCCCC